ATATTAAAACATTGTGTTTTGTCAAAAACATACAAAACATTCTGTGTTGTTTGTTGAACTGTGCTAAAGATGTTAGCTGTTTGTGTGTGTTATTAAACGTTCGCTCGCATTCTGTACACCTCCTGGGAACTTAGCCGCCCAAGTCAAAACCAAGTGACGCCCGTGATTACTTACAACCACAGAGACGAAGTCATACGTTCTGGAAACAAGATATATCAGCCTTCAAAAATTGTGACAATTAAAACTCTTTGAAAGATGGCCCGATAAAAATAAACGCGGCCTGCTTGGGTTTCAGGCTTCCAGTCGAAAGTAATGAAATCGCCATCACTCTCTAAACGGATTGGTTAAAATGACATAAGTTATTGATAAGCACGAGTCATCTTTGCATGTTTCTGTTATTTACTTAATACTTGGGCTTCACACCTAATTCCAAGAAGGAGAGTGAAATACTGGAACAGGTCAAGCCGACCACACCTAAAGCGACCCATGCGATGGCGGGATAATGCAAGCTTATGCGCATGCTGCAACATGACAATCTGAAGGTCAAAGGCATAATTTAAATTCTTACAATTTATATATCCTAATACCAAAGTTGAAGTTCAACGATTATGCATCAGAGATAACTTAGTTTCTTGGCATGGTAGTACTTGCGGTGATGACACAGAAAAAGTTTTGAAAGTTTTTTTTTTCTCACGTACAAAGTGAATTGAATTGTTAGCTCTTACTACTACAGCATTCCTTGATACTCGCTGGTATTGCGCTTCATAACAATTTTGTAGTAATTTCAAGAAATATATTATGAGAGCATTTACAAATTAGCTTTGATTTATTAATAATATGTACCAAGTTAATTCTACGGAGTTCTCCTTTATTTATTAGGTCAATAATAATAGTAAATAACAGAGAACGCCAATGGCGAACATTTTTAGTAACAAAAGATGTAGAGCAGGCTTTTATTTCTTCGATTTTAGGGGAATAGTTGAGAACAAAACTAGCGGAACGTTATTTGTTTGTTGTGCGTTACTATTTATTGAGGTGCTCAGAAACAGTTCTCACACAATACGCAAGTTTCTGCCAGTCAAGCGTACCTCAGAACTTTCATTATGTTAATATGTCGTTTGTATGAAAAAATTATTTCAAGACAAATTATAAGCTTCCGATAATTAGCCACTAATCAATAGCATAATTAACTTTCATATTGTATATCACGTTATCAGTAGTACAACAGGTGTTAAGCGTTACAATTAAGCTATCGTAAACATTATAATGCTACTGTAAATATTCCGTTAATATCCTATACCTCATGAGCACGAGGGCGGCTTTCACATCTGAAGGGCGGCTGCAACCTTGACCTCTTAGCATCCGCAGCTCTGGATCATGACCAGCGCGTCCGCCGCCCAAATGTCATTATTTTACTGAGTAAAATTTCGCTTTCTTCAATGCCTCTTTGACTCCTAGGCGAGCAAGGCTGTCTGAGAAGGAGGAGGAGGAAGGTTGGCTACAGCAGACAATATTGTGGCTACTGGAATAGCGAGTTACGTTTGATCGTATAATGCTTGAATAAACTTGAGCTTAAATGCACGATGAGATAAATTGAACAGAGGAGGGGGTAATTTATGAGGTTAAATGAGCAAGATAAATAGAGAAGTTAAATAGGGAGATAAAGAGAGAAGAATTCCCCATGTTTAATCCTATATATTGCACAGGATTTTACTTCGTTAACTGGTACAGTCTTTCGTGCAACAAGAAAGAAAAACTATAGCAATAAAAAAGTACATAATATATTTGAAGGGACAATCGCGACCTACTGCTATGTAATTCCGGTTGTCACATTTACAGTATATTTTAAAATAATGAGCGATATATATCAGCTCCTACTCGCAACTGGAACGAACTTCCAGGAGTGAGGCTTCAGTGACACAGAACTCGCTAATATATCCATAAAAATGTGGTGAAGATTGTTTATGATGTAAAATGAAACTCGATCGAAATAATTATAGTTTGTAGTCGTTACCAAGCGAGTAGATAAAGTTTTCGAGCCAAAGCGGATTTGCTTTTACTTTGCGTCACCAATTTAGTTATTTACAGCAGTATTATCATACTTTGCTATCAATAAAATTGCTTAATTAGTAAAAATAATAATTTTACACTAGTGACAAATTTATAATCATTATTGTACTTTCAGCTGGGAAAAATGTCTTGAAAACGTGCATGCACGAGGCATTTAAAGGCCGTACGATAATTGATTTTAATTTTCTGCTGCCTCATTCCTATCTCAGCTATTGTCCAATATCCTCAATAACGAGCCTAAAGTGTCCATTGAAAGCTTCCAAGTCTGCTGCGGTAACAAAGAACCCTAAGAGCACAAATTTTGAACGCACGAACCACGCTGATCGAATATTGTTCTCAATTTTAAACAATACAGGAATCCTGGAGTGCGGCTAGTAAACGGAACTCGAGCAGATAACAAGTATGGATGCTAAAGAAAATATCAAATTATAAATTAGGAAACAAGACTAAAGATAAATATAATAGCACGAGAAATAAAAAAAACTTAATTGTCAAACCAGAATTGCAGTGCCCAATTTTTTTTAAGTGAGCATGGCTCCAGCTGGAGCGCATACAAGTGAGGTGCTGGAGCCCTAGCCTAATTTCATGCCTCGTCGAGTAACTTCGTGCCATTGTCGGACCCAATAACGAATTTCTGGAGACGACTTTCGTTCTCAAGCCGTTGCCCTTTGAGCAACAAAAGTTCGATTATTCGTTATGAATTGGTCATGTCTCGGGCAAATAAAGTCTCTGAGCCAATCAATTAAAGTCGTTTCGAGCTGAGAATGGAATTTACGATCTTGAAGTTCAGGCCTTGAAATGTAGGACTTAATTTGATGACAAGTGCGTTTTTAAAAGTTGTTTCGGAATATTTTTCCTCGTGCTAAGTGATTCTGAAAACTTTTCTCGTCACTGCGTAGAAAGACAAAACAAAAGGAAGTAGTTAACAACTTTCATTATCAGCTTTCGATGCAAAATATTTGGGAAGCTAAAACTTCAATTTGACCGTCATAAATGTGCTAATACTCTAATTATTATGTTGACTCATTTTATTATTGCTTGACAAGGTATTAAATGGTTATTATTTGTATCAGAACAGGCTGATAAGATGATAAGGTATGATAGCTTACATGCTACTATAAATTGTTATACGTTTATCGTCGAATATTGCAATAATGGGCGAGAGTTAATCACTCAAGAACTAATTAAAAGTTAATGAACAAGGAAGTAGCTCGGTTTTAATAACTTATATCACCAAATTGAGCGGCAAGCATATCACTTTATTAATTCTGTGTGAAAAAATATGCATAAATTGCCCACCATCTCCTCCTATTCATTTATTTTTCTATTGTTTAACGCCCGAAGTATTATCCTTTTGATATCCATTCAGCAGAGCTGGGCAGCGCTACTTTGAAAAGTAGCGGCCGCTACCGCTACCGCTACATGCTCTAAATGTAGCGGGCGCTACCGCTACCGGCGCTACCGCTACTGAAAATGTAGCGGCCGCTAGTAGCCGCCGCTACATGTAGTGCGCAACTGCCAACCTCTGGTAACAACTGACATGTTGACACTAGTAACAGGCTGAGGTTGACAACATTACACCGAAACCTTTCGCACAGTTTTATTCTGTAATTTATATTATTTATGTATCATGCTGGTTTTTAAGTAATATTTAATACTATTAAGTAAAATCTAAAGGCTTTATCTATAATTGTAGCGGTAGCGCTGTAGCGGCAAAACCTTGTATCGCTGCTTAAATATGTAGCGGGCGCTACCGCTACAATTGCTTAAGTGTAGCGCCGCTACCGCTACCGCTACTGAAAATGTAGCGGCCGCTACATGTAGCGCGCTACTGCCCACCTCTGCCATTCAGGTCATAGTTTTCTTTTTAGCTTTGTTTTTGCGCCCTGATTTTGATACAATTCTTCAACTCTGAATTACCTTTTTTATAGAAAATTCAAATTTAAAGTTTACTCATCGAATATAATCAGCTATTCTGTGTTATATTGATATACTGTAATTATTAATTATCTCGCGGACAAGAGGAACTTCGAATTAGTTCATCGGGCAAGCTCTGCCAAATATTGATCAATAATTGTTTGCAGAAAAAGAGGAAGTTTATTAGAGAGTTAACCGACAGAGAGATTAAGAGGGGCATCATTACTTATTAATTGTTGCTATGGTTAACATGCATCAGCCATGAGAGGAAGCCGCAGTTTAGAATTTTAGTAACATTATTGTAATATTAGACAAGACAGATTCTTTCTAATGTTTGACATTGACATTTTTGCGATAATTGCTTAGCACTTTAACTTTATCCCCTAACAATCAGAATATTTCAACATTTCGATGTGGTAACGATCGAATTCGCATTCATCAATTAGCTCCAATTGTTAAGGAGCCTCAATTCATGACTCAAATACCATATAACTTCCATTTAACGTTTGGTATGTGGGATACATTACCTGCCAAACGCGTAACTTGTTAGATTAACTAGAAGTCTGGTATTATAGTTATCAGGTTAAGTTGGAGTACAATGTTAAGTTGGCGTTACAGGTTAACCCAGCGTGTTAGGTTGACCGCAGTCACGTGCTAGTCAGACGTATCAGGTTAACCGGGTAGTTTAATATGACGTTGCACAGTAACCGGCACAGTAAGCAAGCTGCACATGTCTATAATTGTCCAGTTCTCCTAGCTTATCAGGTTATCCCGGTATGACGGGTTATCACGGCATGACCGGTTCTCCCAATCTAATGCACTCAACCGAAGTAGTTTGCGACCACATCTGTGGTCGCATTCCCACCTTATATCCATCCAAAAAAATCCTTAAGGAGGATCCTTATATCCATCCACCTTATATCCACCGAAATACCATTATATCCATGATAACAAACATCAAAGCCACATCACAAACACACAAAGATAATAAAATTTATACTTCATTTGTACAGAAATGGCGGGGCAGGCTCCCCCTGGAGGCTGCCGTGCTGCTGCTGGTGCTGGGGACCACCGTGTCTGCTGCGGGGGCTGTCACGGGACATCGTCTGCTAGCTGCTCCCCGAGCCTCTATACCTGGTATCGCGCCTCCCTCCTTCGCCCAGGTAGGAATAATATGGAGTGATGAAGCTTCGTAAAATTTTGATGGTATTTCAATCATTGGTGAAGAAATTCTAGCGCAGGGCGAATAAAAAGATTATGAAGGTCTTTATAAAATGAATTTAATGGAGTGCATTATTATGATGAGGCGGACGAATGACGAATGTAATTCAATACATTAGAATGATGAAGTGCTTCAACTATGAATACAATCGAATGCATTAGAATGATGAAGCGTTCGAATAATGAATATGATAAAAATTTCTGATGAAGAGCTCAAGAAGACCCTCTACGTGTCTGAATGTAAAGGCTTCATTGCAGAAAACAACATCCATGAAATGATGATACCGCAATTGTTTCCTGTACGAAACTTTTCTTTTTGCTGATAGTTTTATTCTCTGCATTGAAGGAGTATTTGATAATTGAGTTTTCACTCTAATAAAAATTATTTTCCGTCGCTTTAGTTTGTATTTAATGATAAATAGATGTTTTTCATAAGTAATCAGTTCAATTTACGTCGATAGAAATAACAAAATTGATATGGAAAATTGAAAACGAAAGTGAAGCGATTTTTCGTTGACAATGTAACTTATTGCAGGTTGATGACCAGCCAAACGTCAGCGTCGCCAACATCCAGGACTTGTCTCCCGAAGAACAGACCACGCTGGCTTTATCTGCTCCAAATCTACTGCGACTCTTACAGCAGATTCCTGCTCCTCAAGGACCCTTTTCAGCATCTCAACCCCCAGCGGGTGACCAAGTATCCTTAAACACAAATGCTTTGGATCCTTTTGCAAGAATCGTTGGGCTGCGGCCACACCAAAACATTAGAGGACTTGGTCCTCAGCAGTTCTTGCTCCTCGACAATGTGAATCCAATAAATTCTGCCGCACGTCATGCGTCGTTCGGTGGTTTTGCGCAGCCCAGGCAGCCTTCGCCACTTCAAGAAGCATTCCAATTTATACCGTCAAGCCACGACTTTTCGCAGATAAGAGCCCTGCAATTGCAGCAGTTCCAACAACAACAGCAGCTAATCGAGCTACAAAATCAGTTGCTGCAGTACCAGCGTCTCTTGAGCCAGCAGCCCGACACATCACTTGGTAGTCAAAGTGATCAGGAAAACGACCAAGTTGCTCAAGTTACGGATGTCAATTTTCTGTCCAAGAATCGGCAAGGTTTATTGTCCAGTTCGATCAACTCGTCTCCTAAGTTGCAAACAGGAGCACGTTTACTCTCTAGTAATCCATTTCAGTTTAGAATCAACGAAATACCCCCGAAAATTTCACCAGTAAGGCCATCAGTGCAGACAGTGACCCAAACTGTATTTTTGCCTCTCCCTGCAAGCGGCCAGAAAGATGAGAGATTGGAACAAGAAACTCAAGCTAGAAAGCACCTTGAAATTATTGATGCAACATCCAAAACCCATTTAAACGATAAAGTTATTGGAACTGATTTTGGGGAATTGATATCTATTGATGAAGTCATTGAAGAAAATGCTACAGAAAAGGATTCTGATGCGCCAGCAATCAAAATGGATGCAACGTTCTTTACAAATGATAGTAACTCCGCCAATCCAGAAGAACACACTTTAAACTTTACATCTGATTCAGGAAGAATATCCAAAGAGCACGAGCGCAACAAAGGTGAAGAAATCCCACTGCCTAGGGAAGTTGATGTTAGTGTGGCTGTCACTGAACGAGCAGCTCCCGAAGAAGTGCAGAAGGATGAGTCACTATCGAAGTCGAACCAGAAAAACTTAGTAATTTCTGAGAGCATTCTCCAGTCAAATTCCGATGGAGATGATTCAAGCCATGTTTCCCTGCAGACTTCTCTTAGCACTCCCTTAACTCATTCGCGATTAACTCCAGTTTCCGAATTTCACCCAGAATTTGCTGATGAAGAAATTCCAGCTAAACAAATAACCGAGAAGGCGATCAATGATTTTTCTTTTACTGCTCGTTCTTCGGGGTCGTTTCCAATAATTACTTCAAATATTTCTGAGAAAGATATAGCATTGGACACTGACATTGCAGAAAACGATGTAGCAAAGGCAGTTCCAGGGGCTAGTACAGATGCGACTCAATCCTCAGAACCATCTTTTCAATTGGATGAATTCTTCAAAAGCCTTTCTACATCACAGAGGCCTTCTTTGGAAACGGCTTCTTCAGACACATCGAAATCTTTGGTCGATGCGCACCTGGATGAAAATGATGGCTCTCCACCAATCGATACAGACCCAGAAAAGATTGAGGATATTCGCTTTTTTGAAGCGCTCACAGTCGACGGGCACGCTTCCGTTGACACTGGTGAACCACTTGAAGATAACGCCACGGAGCTGACTTCCATGACCGATAGAACGTCTAAAGCACCCATGCTCAGTTCAATCTCTAGCGTTGAACTTGGCGAGGACCTGCATGCAAAGAATTTAGATTCGTTCAAGTCTGTCTCTACTCCCTCATCGTTGAATACTGCAAATGATGTAAATGAATCTCTAGATGTTTTCGATAGCGAGATCAACTCACACTCGTTCACTCTCAGCGACTCTGACGTTAATTCTTCTACAGATAGCAAACTAACGTCTCCTGTCACTGTTAGAGTTTTTTCTGAACCATCAATTGCAGATACAGTTAGCGAAAGCATTACTGAAAGGACTGACAAAATCGAGCCAATTGACGATGATAGTTTAATTTTTACAACCAGCTCGCCTATAGTAATCGAGTCTCCGTCAACGTTGAGAATCTTCAGAAACAATGCCGAAATCATCACTAGGAATACGCCTCGCGCCCCTACACTCGCTCCTATAACACCACCAGCAGAAGAATCCGCGGCAAATATGTTGCCACTTGAAACAATGTTTGAAGACTTTAAAAACGACAATCTCCACTCAATCGCACATGATGTCCATATGTCAGACAGTAATACCAATCTAGGTAGTGTGATTACTGAAGTCCAGGATTTTGATTCCACTATTGTTTCAGTGCTACAAAATGCAGAAGTGAAAAGCGAAAACATTGAAGCCACTCCTGCTCTTTCTCAAAATGAAAATATAGACGACCATAAAATTCAAGAAAGCATGAACTCATCAAAGATTTCCCCAGATCAGAAGCGGATTTCAATTATTAATAGTCAATCCTTTGAATCTCCTAGAATTGTAGAGCGAACAGTTATTTCCATTTCGTCCAACGGGAACCGAGATAACTCCAAGACATCAATAAACCAAGATTCTGATTCGCTTTTAGACACAGATGAACGCGCGGAATCTCATCACGTTCCAACTTTCACCATTTTCGTAAATCCCGAAACAGGCCGCATTTTCAAACGTTCGGTCCCCACTGATTCTGAAGACATAAATTCGAAGCTATCCGAAATTTTGCAAATGAAGGAAAAAGAAATTGAGGCTGCAAATCAACGATTCAAAGGAAGACAAGGATTATTTACAATGTTCAATGCGGAACGTAACTCGAAACGAAATAGGAATCAGCCTTCAGGAAAATCTGTCACCATCTCGAGTGACAAAAGCATCAATGAGGACCCCAGAGTACTGAGCAAAAACCGTCTAACAGCCAGAAAGGCAAGTCAAGACTCGTCAGTCCGTGATGAGAGGAGATCAGGACTCTTGTCTTCCCTAAGAGCTCAGAGAATGAAGAAGCTTCAGGCTATGACGGCAACTTCTTTCTCAAGCAGACTTGGCGAGACGGAACTTGAGCAATCAGAAGGTAACGAGCTAAATTCAATTCAACCCACGGAGATTCCAACACAGGATGTGAATCCCACTGAGGATAATGTGGTTGAAGAGGAAACCATTGGCAGTGAGAAAGAAACGGCCCACACCGAGAATGTAAATGATCGGCAGTCGATTTCACCAAATCCTAACAAACAGCTTACATTACAAGAACAGCTACGGATGTTATTGAGAAATAAGAGTACAGGAGACAAAGTACGAAGACGGTTGCTTTCGTCAAGAAGAACCTTTGGACAAAATTCTAGGCAAGAAGCAACTGACAATTTAACTGCTAATCAAAGAACAACAGAGTCGACCACCACTGAAATACCAGTTACAACTCAAAGTTCCCCAAGGTTCAATAGGTTTAGAAATTTAGCCTTGCAACGCGGATCGGATAGAAGTGACAGGGTTCGGCTACTGGCTTCAAGATTTAGTAATAGAAATGAGCAGTTGGTATCAAAAATTCGTGGGGAGGCGAGTAGAGATCCCGCAGAAAAAGAAACGAAAAAAAGTGACGAAGCAAGAAGGTCCAAGCTTAACAGATTTGAAGGATTCCGCGCAAGAACTCGGCCATTTGTCACTGAAAATAACAAATTTATGATATCTTCCACAACCACGAAGCCCACATCAGAGTTGCCGGCACGAGAAACAGACGACGAAGTAACAACGGTTGTCACTACGACAGAAATCGACGACACTGAAGACTCTACGATTGGAATTACCGAACAAATTGATGTGAGCACTAATTTGATAGGAACTATTAGTCCCATAGACGAAAAGCAAACAACTCTCCCAACATTCATGGCCAAGTTCCAAGATATTTTGAACAAATCTTCCGTAAGTTCAAAATTGGCTTCATCAACAACTCAAAAAGAGCTAAACATTGGTCAAGAAATCCCAGAAAGTTTTAACGAATTATTGGGTATTGAGGCAACCACCATAATATCTGAGACCGATAACACGCAGAATATATTAGCCGAGACAATTAAGCCATTCTCGGAACTAGATTTAATAACTTTGAAAACTTCAACTGGATTACCAACAGGTACTACAGAAGTTACAGTCGCCGTAGATAATACTCCGCAATCCATGTTTGCTGTAACGTCGGCTTCAATTCCTCTTGAGCACCTCAATAATAAGACTTCTCGGAATCGATTTCAACCCGATTCATTTCCAGTTTTAGATTCTGTACGAACTCGCAACAAGCTTCAGAATAGTTTGCACGAAACTAATTTGCCAGACGACGCAGGTGAAAAAGTATCCGACGTGTTCAGTCGTATGCTGTCGGCCATAAAACAATCTAATAATCAACATGCAGAAATGAATGTTGGGGAACATGCTTCCCAAACGACTGAAAGGCAAATGTTAAGAGATAACGTTCGTGATTTCTCAATAGGTAGTCAATTTTTGGGCGCAAACCAACAGACCCCTGTTTCGGAAGCATCATTTGACGACCGTGAACATTCCGTCGTTGACGGGGTGCTCGTAAGCGCTGCAGTTTCATCGCTGGCGAATCGTACTAATGGCTTCAGGCCTCACGCGACTCCATTGAGGAATGGACCGGCACAAACAATATTGACCAATTCAACATTTTCACGAAGTACAGAAAACTTCTTGACACAAGTCAAAGAAATAAGGAGCGAAGGTTTTACAACTCAGTTGAGTGTTCCTCAACTCGCAGAGGAAATTTTTACATCTTCTGTCGTCAAAAAATTACCATCAATTCCGGGTCCGCTTACAGAAAATACGTCCAATTCGCTCGTAAATTCCTTAAAAAGCCGTTTGTTGCACGGTAACTTTTCGCTTCTGATTGATGGCAAGCTTTTAGAAGAAGTTGCAGCAAGTTCTCATAATCAAAGTGATGCACGGTTGGGTCCTTCGCCATCAATTAATCATTCATTATTTGACATTCCTGTAATGATGAAATTACCGAAAACACCAACATTGGACTCTGATTCTAATGATCCAATGATCTCTACTCTGGAAGATGCGGAAGTCAGTATTCCTACCCAGGCTTCTATAATTGAAGAAACTCTTACGCTTTTTGATTCCAGTCAAAATGTGAGTAGTTCTCGTGATCTACTGGACTCAAATAAGACCGGAATTGACGCAGAACCTGCGGCTGTAGTCGGTGGAAGGACTTTCCCCTCTGACTCATTTATTCCAGACCTTCCAAATGAAACGTCTATCCATGGAAGATTGAATAGTGAAACTAACAGCGAGACGTCAACAATGGGTGAGATGACATCATCGCCTGAGTCTAAAGCAAAAATTGATGATACGACACCGAAAGAAATAGTCTCACCAAGCAAAACACGCACTCTACCAACGTTTCATGATATTTTCCCCTCTCTTTTCAACCCAATTTTTGTTGAAGAGTCTACAACTTTTCCAGCGAATGTAGAGTCTCTTCAGACAGATCAGTTTGAAACAAGTGATTTGAGAACCCTTCTCCCAAAAAATCCAAATCCGGAAGATTTTCCGGAATCCGATACCGATAATACTCACCAAAACGAAGTCAATGGGGAATTGGCTACTAAAAAGTTTAGAGAAGAAGCAGAACACATGCACAAGTTGAAGCCAGTACCTCTGGCACCATTTGCCGTCCAAGTACCAGTCACTGTTGAAGAAACAGCTGCAATGCAGCATGCCACACCCGTGGTTTTGATAGAAAGTAAATCGGACGATGCCGTCACGAATAACCCTCTATCATCTACATCAGCCGATTTTTCTGATGATCACAATCCACAGTTTGAATCTCTAAGTCACCAGCCACCACCTAACTCTTTTGAAGCTCGGAAACGCCCTAATGAAAGATTAAATTCTGACCACCAAGGTTCGCTACTCGAGGACTCAACAGATGACAGGCTCTTCCAAAATGTACAGCTGCCGAATGATGAAATAATGATTGAAGATGTTTTTCATGACGAAACTAATGACATAAGTGGATCAATGCAACCGGTCATTCTCACGCATATGGGTCAAGCATTCATGCCAGCTGTCACCAGCCCAGCAAATGAGGTTTTCATTCCAGCCATTAACATTCACTCAAAAAATCAATTCTTCTCGGAATCAACGGATAGAAGCTTCACAGATTTTACTACAGAAACACAATTTGTCTCTGATAATTTTGAGACCGATTTTGCAACCACAATTATTCCACTTACTGCTTCATTTGATGATGACTTCGCCACGCTGTTTGCGAATTTTACTCAACCCCCTTTATCTGTTGTTGAAGATTTAGCACCAGACTTCCGCACTCTCTCTCTAAATAATGAAAGTGACATAGAATCACAGTTTCAACAAAACGGTCAAGCACCACACCGTGATAATCTAAGTGCTGTGATTTTGAATGAAGACGAGGATAACACAATAAGCAATTTCATAAAACATTTGAATCCTACGACACTCTCCCCCCTAAATGTTGACAGTCCTTCATTGCATTCAATTCCTACAGAATTTGCTCCTAGTCAAATAGAACTATTCAAATCCAGAACAGAATTCGCTATCGATGAGTTTGCAAAGCAAAATTCAAGAAGTGGAGCTAAAGAATCGATATTTACGCAAGTCGATGAGCGACCAAATATAAGCAAGGCTATTACAGATCCTCCTTTGACCTCTCATGCAACAGTTGGAGCAACAATACCGAGTACCGACATGGGAAATAAAGAACTCGAACTCGACCTCGATACCCTCACGGAAACCACATCATTATCGGAATCTTTCAGTGATGACGATTCTAGTCTTCCACCACAAATGTCAGATGACAACAACCAAGAATCCCGAAATGAAGATTTCCCGCAGAACCACAATTCGAATTTGCAATTCAATGCTGAAACTAATCCGCTAAGTAAGGGATCGGACGTTTTTGCAGTCAAAAATTCAGAATTTTCCAGTCCTACTTCCTCTGTCGTGGCCGATAAGGAGCTTTTTATTCACAACGAACTAAGTTCCTCTACTGCAAGCAACCGTAACAAAATTGAAGCTAGTTTTACAGACAGAATGCCTACCTCTATTCCAGAAAGGATTTTCCCAGCACTCACACCACGATTGGTCCCGGATCAACAGCCTGAACACCATCATTTGCCTAATCTTCAGGGATCAGACCACGTTAACTTAACTGCTATCCAGCCTGCTGTTGGAGGTATCTCAGATGCGGCAGTCGTGAAGAAAGTAATCAAGATAACTTCGTTAAATCCCCTTACTCCTTCACCACCGGCCAACCCTCAAGTTTCACCATTCCCTCATAGGCTTGTTCCTAAGCCTCTACATACTCAGTTTGCTTCACCCATACGAGATCGAAGACCTGTGTTGAGGAGCCGGGCTCGGAATAATGAACGTCTTCAGCAAAATAACTTTCTTAATGGCTTTTCAACTCCCGTGCTGGACAACCAACAAGTAAACCTGGAAAAGGGTCACGTAAGCAATGATGTACTAAGTAGTGATGATATTACATCTAGGAACCCACCTCAAAATGACCAGCAAATAGAATCTACGACCGTGGCTCAAAGTACTCGAAGACTTGATTCAGCGAAAACGATCCAAACTGTCCTCAAATCTGAACTAACTAGAACATCTGAAGATACTGTAAATCAACTTGAAAGAGGAGGAAGGGCATTTGATGCCTTTAGACCTCCGCACAATTTATTCATTCATGGAATAGGCAATACCCAAGACAAGGTACAAGAGTCTGAAACATTCAAATCTGTAACAACGGTGTCGCATTTAATGAACGTCGAACAACCTCCCGAGGCTCCTGAAAAAATTGAAAACAGTCAAACGCCATCGGTTGTTACTGGCGATTCGCTAAAAGAATCGGTGAAGCATGCCCCCGACTTGACACAAGAATCTCCAGTGTTCATCCCCGATGAAGGTGGTAGAATCCGTTCAGGAAATAGTTTTGTGACACCTCAACCATTGGAAAATGATTCAAAAGATTCAACTGTATTCGTACCGATTCCGGCGGGCGAAACAACAGGCTTTGATCTAGAGTTAAATCCAGAAATATTCATTGTAAAAGAAGGGATCAAACATGAGACCATACCAGTGCCAATCGAAACTCAATCATTACCTGGAGCACGAGTGCCTTTTGAACGCAATGTCAATGACACAATCAAAGACGAGGAGTTAGGCCATGAGCTAAGTGAGCATGTAATAACTTCTTCCCGTGAGATCGATCATCCTCCACCATCTTTAAGTGCGCTTCCAAACGTAACCAGTTCTTCTGGATCAACAAAAACGCAGAAAGAAATACTTTCAGACCCTTCAATTTTTGAACCATTAGAAGGACCCTTAACTGAGTCGTCAGCTGATTCTTCATCAAATCAGCAGCCATCTACTCTAATTTTTCGTTCAACTACTTTAGCACCGTCATTCCCTGTATCTACTGAATCTACCTCAACTGTAGGACCTGAAACAACATCAATCCCTTCTGATAACATCCACAACCTAACAAACGACGAACTGCTGCTTCTTGACCTGCTGGCCGATATTGTAGAGTCACCAGCAACATTGTCGTTTTCTTCTCTGTCGCAATCCTTTGATGACCAATTTACTGCTCTCGAAGAGCCTCAATTTGTGTCCGAGAATAGGGAAGTGAAGGCTATTGATGCTCCAACGAGAGTCTTCTCGTCTCAAAACCTCGAGTTTTCCACGATTAAACCAACGAAAGAAGAACACCAACAAAACTCACGTTCTCGAAAGCCAACAACTCAAACCCATTCGCCAACGTTGCAAAGCAACCCTGTTTTCCCGCCTTCTTTACCCCAGTTTCCTCAAATGCCCACCATTACTACCCCAAAACCATTCCTTGACCATTTTTCATCTCATTCCTTTGATACCTCATCTTCTGATCACAATAGGAATAACTTTGGATTTAGCGGAAATTTTCCGTTCCATGTTTTCGATTCTTTAACTGTCAATCAGCCAATCCGACCAAGATCAGTTTCGTCACAGGCTCCTGTTAACACCGTAAGTCCTAATTTTTCCTTCTTCCAAGTATTCAATCCCCCTAAGCCGGCCTCGCATAGATCGCAACATTCTACTGCATCAGCTCCTTTCCCATTTTTAGGGAAACCTGTGGTGCCGAGGCGGCCCTCAGAATTTTTTCATGCAACTGTACCTCACTCAGTCGTTAATCGCTCAAGTGGAACTCACGGGACAAATCACGATAACCTACGAAGGCATTCCAATGCAAATCCACAGCCCTCTTTCTCAAGGGACGAAAAGGCTAAAATTGTGTCAATGAAAACGGAATCAGGCTCCTTGATTTTCTTACCAGCGGATCAAGTGCCGCAAGCTGTTAACATTGGAATGGGAACTCCGATTGACGTCTCTGAAATGCAAAAGAAAAACTCAAACAGATTTTTGTGACGAGATAGTTTCACATAAATAAATTACCTGTTTTGATAATGTATGTATATAGTGTAGGTATTTTTATTTGAAATCAATCTGCTCGAAGTTTCATATTTCGACAGTAATTGTTGAAATAACACTGACATATAGTCTTAAGTCCTGACGTGTGCCAACTATGGGTACGAAATGTGAGTTTTGCTACTTAAAATGCAGTTTTATAATTTTGGTCGTGAATAAATTTGCCAATGTAGAATTTTTTGCCCCAGAGAATTTTTTAGTGAATGAGAAACAAGTTATTATACATAGTGCAGCAGATTGTTTGATTCACACAGAAGATAGGATGGGTCAGATTGTTCAAATAGTGACGCACTATCTCACCCACAGCACGAGCAAAGAGCTGACGGAGCAGTGAAACGCCGTTTTGTCGGTTTCTCTTTACAAAAATCAAAAGTAAAATTTTATGTGCAGGATTTTTACAAACATTCTCAATAATGCGCTTTAACGCTCATAAATTTTCTTGCACCAGATATTGGACCGCAGCTCACCTAGAATTGATAAGAAATCTTGAGTTGATTTGTAATCCTTATCTCTTAAGATAACGACGTTAGAAGAAGCTTGCGCAGTCTTTATTGTTTTAATTCTGAAATATTGGTAATATCTCTTTGTGCCAATAAATGAGAGAAAAAAATGTCATGTGTAGAAATATATAAGTAAATAATTGGTGAGAGTTTTTTTCAGTTAATATCCTAGTAATTAGCTCCAGGGCGATTATTAATTAGCAGTAGACAAATTTCTAACGATGAAGCATGAATTATGACGTCGATTAAAATGAATTCCATTTACGAATGTTGGTGAGTGAGTTCAAAACCTCCAATGAATAATTTCTTTTCTGAAGAATTGATATCACCTTGTATGAAATTAACTACCCATCTTTTAGCATTTAGCATGCTAAAGTTTCCGATCGAATATCGCCCCACGAAATCTGGCAAGCTTTCCTACCTAAGAAAGACGTACAAAGTCATATTTTCTCCAGGTTTGTCTTCGTAGATGAGTCAGGTTAAACCTTTCATTATAGACACAAGTGTCGGTGTTCTGGGACGGACGGAACACCTGTCGCCTTGACATCAAACACGAAGTGAAGTACTTGGTATGACAGTCGCGGCGATGACCTACACATGATACGTTCTAATTAAGAGCGCGTCACTCACTTGCTACCTGACGTGACAGTAGAAAACCACAATAAAAGTAATAGAAAATTCCTAGAGGAATTTCGAACAGTTTAGGAACTAAGCCACGAACAGGCTGATCAAAACTATACTTAAAACTCATGTCTAGGTAATTAAAAATTTTGTGGTGAATGAACTTTTGAACTCAGAGGCTCTCACTGTAGAAAAATTCCAGCAGACTAGTGGGTGAACTGTGTTGCGCTCAGCGCCTGCGTTGCTGATGACACGCATTGAGCCAGCACGCAGCCAGCAACGTACGTTGCTGATATGGAGGTGAGACCTGAATCACCTGATGCAGTGATGCGTTTTATGAAGAGATAGTTTGGTTTTTAATGAGATCATTTGTAAGGATTTGTTATTAACTATGTTAGAATAATGATAGTTGTATTGAAATTTATTATTGAAATTTATTATTGAAATTAATTAATTTAAATGGGGATTACTTATTTAAATTAAATAATAAAATTAATAATACTTTATACGTCATTTTATAACATGCAAGTCATATTATTATTTATTAGTAAATAATATAACGTGCCTGAAATTTCAATCAGAAAAACGCTCCTTCTTAGAAGAATTTTTACAAATAAAAAACTATTGAATTTAATAGTTTGAGCAATTTTAGTCAACGAGCGCAAGCGTTCAATGCGGTCAGTTAACGTCGCAGCTCAAAAAGCTTCGTGTCTAAAAAAGAGCCAACAACTGCGTGAAGCAGTGCTATAAATTCAGTAGATCAAATGCGTCTCAATCTCCTCCCGGTCAAGTAAATTTATTTTACATTTACCAACAATTAGCTTTGACCTAGAATGAGTTTTCTCTTTTAAATGTCATCATTTCTTCATCAAAGAAACAATGGTTTTCTGAATTTATTAAATTAAGAGTATTTTCGTGAGTAAACCGAACTTTTTCACATCATACAATATGTCACTGACATGACAAGGATTATTGCACTAATTAAGGTCTTTGATTATTACCTAATTAATGCAAGTTTAAAATGTAATAATTTAAATAAGAGAAAAAAGAAATAGTTCATTTTTAATTTTATTAAGCTCACGGCAATTTTTGATGTACAAAATAATTACACAAACGATTCTCAATACATAATAAATAACATCGAAGTGATTGTTTTAGCATTACTTTCTTATTCTGTTGATAGATTGCATAAATAAGACCGTTTAAAATTAATTGTAAAGAACTGTCAATGCTCAAAATACCTATATTAGGAGGTTCGCAAATTAATTGCGTACATAGGAATAACTCCGAAAATGAGTTCTTCACCCTTTATCAATTTCTAATAAATTCTCAACTTTGCAGGAACCAAAGCACCTCCGAGGTCACTTGGAAGTGGAGGTTCAAGAGGCTTTTGATCTCCCTAACTTGGATAAGAACCAGGGACGTCCTGGAAACCTCAGCGACCCATACGTGGTAGTTCGAGTCCTGGGACCCAAAAGAACGGAGAAGAAACTTGGCAGAACTCACACCATTGACGACTGTCTCAACCCAAAGTGGTGGTATACCTTGAATGCTGAAATCGACAGTGAAGTACTGGAGATCCGTTTCGACGTAAAAGATGAAGACACATTCAGAGCAGATAAAATTGGCAGTTGCACTGTTCCTGTGATTGCTTTTATCAATACTGGCGAGTATAGAGGGTGTCTTGTTCTGCGTAACAAGAAAGGGGAGTCTGCCGGAAGACTGAAAATTTGCGTGAGGTTTTGCGGAAACTTGAATCGGCAAGTGGTGGCTGCCTCTAGACCGACGTGCAAGATTCGAGGATGCGTTCAGAGACGTCGAACCTGCAGCATCGAAGACAAGAACATCATTTTTCACGGTAAAATGATCATCAATATAGAAAGTGCCGAGGACTTGCCCAATTTGGATTCGACATTCCTCAACAAAGAGAACAAAACAGATCCATTCGTGAGTGCGTTTCTCGTCGACGGTGATGGTCAAGAGTGGAAAGTTGCGACTACTCACTGTATCAAAGACGAATTGAATCCTGTGTGGGGTGAAACATTTATCGTGAATGTATGCCATGAAATTACGAGTATTGTTTTTAAAGTATACGATCAAGATTTTATTTTCAGTGAGAAGGTGTCATCCTTAACACTTCCCGTTTCGTTGCTTATGAACCAAGGCTCAATTTCTGGAAGATTTGAGTTGAAAGGTAATCATCGATATAACGGTCGGCTCAACGTTTCGATACGATTTAAAAATATAAATGTGAATGATCTTGAAGTGCCGAATTGTATCTATCCTCTTAGATCCGGGAACAAAGTAAAGTTGTATCAGGATGCACACTGTCCTAGTTTACCTGTGCCAGTTTTCAACGACCAGGGCTGGCCATACATTCCTAATAGTGCTTGGATTGATATCCAAGACACGTTAAACAATGCCAAGAATTTTATTCTTATCACGGGATGGAGTGTCAAAACAAGCATCGCGTTAGTGCGAGGAGAATGTGGGGCAGGAGAGTCTTTGGGTGAATTATTGAAACGTAAAGCAGGGCAGGGAGTTGACGTGCGTCTTCTACTTTGGGACGAAATAACTTCTAGCGACTCCAATCATGTTGGAGCAATGTCCACGTATGACAATGAAACAAAAGATTATTTCAAAAATTCAGCCGTGAAAGTTTCTCTAGCTCTGCGAAATCGCAAAAATCCGCGAGCCTCCCGGACCAATCAAAGTTACTTGACGATGCTCTGTTATACTCATCATCAGAAAAGTATTATATCTGATATGAGGTTGACCGATTCGCCGAAAAAGAACCATCGATGCTTGGTGGCTTACGTGGGTGGCCTGGACCTTACGATTGGCCGTTACGACACTCCGAAACACAGTATTTTCAGCACGTTGAACGATGAGCATAAGCATGACTTCTACAATAACATACTGAACACCAATATTCAGTCAGGACCTCGACAACCTTGGCATGACATTCATTCTCAAATCATTGGGCCAGTTGTCCACGATATTCTTGACAATTTCATAGAACGATGGCGAAAACAAGGAATATTCAGAGACGCTGCTCTTGATTGCCGCGATATAGATGCAAATTTCTACTACGAAGGCGATGACTATTGGAACGCCCAGATTTTCCGGTCCATCTGTGAAGATTCGCTCACCTTCCGAACGGCTGATCCAGAAAATATCATCACCAAGCAAGGCCGAAAAATTGACAACAGCCTTCATCGTGCGTACATTCACCAAATTCAAGCGAGCGAAAAGTTCGTGTATCTTGAAAATCAGTATTTCATTGGCAGCAGCCACATGTGGAAAGACTGCAGGGACACACCAGTAAGAAATCTCGTGCCTCTTGAAATTGCGAAGAAAATCGTTGATAAAATACGCAAAGGAGAAGAGTTTGTCGCATATATTGTGTTTCCAATGTTCCCGGAAGGCAATCCTGTCGACGTCGTCACGCAAGAAATTCTGCACTGGCAATATCACACAATGGAAATGATGTACGGAATGATCGGCAACACCATACAAGAAATGGGACATGACACAACGCCCCAGGATTACTTACTGTTCTTTTGTTTGGGACTAAGAGTAGGGCCTGCAAGCGTGCCTCAAAATCTGACGCCACCAACAGATGAAGCAGCTGCATTGAGCTTCAAAAACCGTCGTTCGATGATCTACGTGCATTCCAAGCTTGCTATTTTCGATGATAACTACATCATCGTAGGGTCAGCAAACATTAACGACAGATCTCTGGCGGGAGCAAGAGACACCGAAATTGCCATGGGTGCTTATCAGCCCAAAGTGGGTCCTCGAGTCAATAACGATATAGCTACTTTCAGGAAATGCCTGTGGTCTGAACATCTAGGTAGTCTCGCGCCACTCGAACTGGATCCAGGCTCCATTTTGTGCGCCCGAAAAGTTCGGAGGATCGCTGAAGATTCGCTCATGAGATACATCGACGTGCAGAAGCCCCTTCCTCTTGCACATCTATTGAGCTACCCTCTCAGCATCGACCGTCGAGGAGTCGTTACAAGCAGACCTGATTGCGAATTTTTCCCAGATACTAAAGCTATGGTTCTCGGAACCCGCTCTAAAGTTTTACCGTCATTTCTGACAACGTAGATTGAAAAATTATAAATCGCGTGCGCTATAAATTTCTGGCCACCTTGCAAACAATGGAATTCATTGATTGTTACACTAATATACATTTCAATCATTGCGATACGCATGTGTTATAACTACTGACATGAGTGAAATTCCCCAATAAGAAGTGAACGAGACTTTATGGGAGATGATGAAGATAAAGAACATTAAGATTATTCCTTAATGTTGAGCACCGGTTCTTCACGTAGCCGTCATGTGGCTTCTTCATCTCAAACAGCGACCATGAACGATGTGCATATTCGAAAAATTACAGAAACATTGCAACTAAATATGCTTTGTTCACTGGTCCCAATAACCGTTATGTGAATCAATGCACACTGTATCAATGCACTGACTGTGTATTTTTATTATTTAGATATTGAAAATTTAAATGCATAATTTTCATTTAAGTTTCAATTTTTTGTTATATAAAGTGTGGTATTACCTTTAATTTTAAGATGAGAGAAGTTTAATCAACTTGCAATAAATGGCTATTTATACCATTAACTTTTTTCATGTGCAATGGTAATTATTCCGTGCAATAATTACAACCAAAATCTATGTTATTCTATATTGTGTCGGTTGCGGCCCCAAGCTTTTTCAAGTGTAAGATCTTATATTGTATTTTGTCCGTGTAATATTTCCATCCAAAACTGAGACTCGTTTATTCAGTCGTTATTCAGTCTGTAATTAAGCTCCGCTTAATGATTTTATAAGTGGTTCGTAATATAATGAAGAATATTGAACACATTCCAGCACACTAGAAAATACTTTGTATTATGCATGTTTTATGTCAGTGCCTTCCCGTAGTAAACATACGTTCATAATGAAGTCACGCGAATTTTGCGTTTAATTTGTAGGACATGGGCATTTTGGATGCTAACATAATTATTTTCTAAAATGGGCATAATTTTTCTGGATTGATTGCACTCTCTACGAACTACAGGGTTCAAAACCGTGGTTAGATGAAAATACGTAAATTTCATCATCGAGATCCCACATTAAAGTAATGAAACTTTGTACAAAAATTTGCTTTTTGTTTCTTCCCAACAGCTTTACATTACATATACAGTGGGGGGAAATAAATATTCGTACACTTGAAAAATCGTATTTTAATGTATGTAAGTACACAAACTTAACAGGAAAAGTGATTTAAATTATGTATAGAGACGCATAGTATTCAAAATACTACCAAAAGAAATTAAATCTCAATGCAACAAAAAACAATGCAACATGTTCACTTTTCGGGTGAAAAAAGTATTCGTACAAAACAATAAATCCGCATTATTTTAATTTAATACTTGGTTGAATACCCTTTATTCAGCTCAACAGATACCAGAAATACAATGCGCCTCTATACATAATATAAATCACTTCTCCTGTTCAGTTTGTGTACTTACATACATTAAAATACGATTTTTCAAGTGTATGAATATTCATTTCCCCCCACTGTATTTGTGTGGGTTTTTCATGCCAATCCAATTAACATTGCTGGAGCCTTCGATGCTACGAAACGTACGAGCGATATGAATCAACTCCCAATCTAAATCTTGGACAAATTTCAACAATCGTTATAGTACATTACATAAATTAGCTCTGCCTACATATCTAATAATTATACGTTCTAAGTAATCGCATACTACCGATAACAATTTAAGAAAAATAATTTAACGATACATGCAATCTTATACCCCACAAGCTCCTATGTTTACGAGTCTCGATAATTCTCTTGGACGGTAAGTGGAATGTTTAAACGAACTCGCTGAGGAGGGAAGCTTCATGCAGGATTACAACGCCATACGATAAGATACGGCGGCAGTTCGATAGCATATCAGGTGGATCAGAGACTTGCATTTATTGCAACCACAGGGCAGAAGCGAATTATTTCAATGGTAAAAGTTGCCTTGGTCGGAGGAAGACTAGAAGTTATTCGTATTTGTTTCCACTGAATAGTTTTATTTTCAACTTTATGACCATCAGACTCGACTTGTACGAGTGTAGAAAAATAAGACGGTAAGAGCAAGATTAGAGCATCATTTTTGTTGTGCATATTTATCCTGATATATGTGAGTTGCTAAAATTTGAATAAATTTTGATATCAGTGCACTATCGATTAATTTCTCTGAAGAAACACCGAAATTATGATTTTTAGTTACGTTATATTTACAATTTACCAATACTTATGTAATTTATCCACCCACATTAATTAATGAATAAAAGTATGAAATACATTTATGAAGGTATTTAGTCCAACAATTGAAGAAACTCTAGTTTTATCAAGTTACTTATCACATCGCCGTTCAAATTATATTTGGTTTGCTAATGCTGGCAGAAAACTAATGTAATTTTGATGCGATTTGTAAAAGAAATAGATACCTTGAAAAATAATGAAAATAAAAAGCAAAGCTGTTCATCAGACAGAGCAATTCGATGTGGACGCTTCAAGTTCAAGACACCCAAATCAAAGCAAACGAAATTGTTCTATGACTACGTATACAATTTATAATATGATAACAGGACCAAGTCGGACTTTTCTCTATACTCACATAGATTAAATCGAAGTAAAATTTTATTGCATGAAGTTTCGAGGGCTCCTTACAAAAGATGTTGATATTTTTACTTTCAATACACAGATACCCTAACTGGAACCATCCATACTCTTTTTTTGTTTACGTCAATTATTATATGTCTGTTTCCTAACGATATCGCTCTTTCGTACAACATTAACAAACTATCTCTGTTTCTTGACGGTATCGTTCTTTCGTAAAACATTAACAAGCTTTCTAACATTAAAATTTCACGTTTACTAGGAATGTTTCGGCTGCAAGGTCTACTGGAGGTGACTGTGAAGTCGGCCAGTGGCCTACCCAACTTGGATCACGATCCCAAAAATCCCGACGACTTGAGTGATCCCTACGTTGTTGTTGAGGTCGTCAGCCCCAAATCTGGGAAAAAGAAACTGTGCAAGACCCCAACCATTCAAGATTCACTCAACCCATGCTGGGACTACACTATATTTGCAGAGATTGACCAGGATATCAGTGAAATTTTATTCACAGTTTACGACAAAGATTTTCTGAAGGATGACAAAATTGGATCCTGCTCGGTCCCAACTTTGCGGTTTAGCAAATCAAAAATTTTCGAAGAGGAATTAAGCCTTATTAACAACAAGCTGAAGGATGCCGGAAAACTGAGAGTTAGCATAAAGTTTTCAGGAAGTGCAATTACAGGAATCATGAAATCTGGCACACAAAATAAATCAATGAAAATTAATGGTTGCGTATCGAGGATATCCAAGACCGACATAACGGACAATTGCAGTCGCCTATTCGCTCACGGGCAACTTTTAATCAAAATCATCAAAGCTGAGGATTTACCAAATTTAGATTCAACGCTGTTTAAAAAGAAGAACTTGAGTGATCCTTTCGTGATTGCCTCTCTGGTGGACGATGATGGAGCTGAAATTGATGTCGTTAAAACAGCCTGTATCAAAGACAATCTCAGCCCGGAGTGGAATGAAGAGTTTCTGATCAACGTTTGTCATGAGGTCACGAGCATATCTTTCAAGGTATATGATAAAGACATGGTTACAAAACAGTTCATGGGCTCTCTCCAAATTCCAGTTGTGCCCCTAATCAAGGAAAAGAAAATAGATGGAAAATTTCCACTGATGAATAACGAAAAATCTTGCGGGAGTCTTCACGTTTCAGTTGAGTTGTCCGAAACGCTCGCAAAAGACGCGGAAGTTCCTAACTGTGTGAACAAACTTCACGCAAACAATCTAGTCAAGCTTTACCAAGATGCTCATTGCCCTTCTCTGCCAATTCAGCTGAAAGATACGTCAGGCTCACCCAGAGTTCCAGGAAACGCCTGGGAAGACATCTACACCGCTCTAAAAAATGCCAAGAATATGATTTTGATTACTGGATGGAGTGTGAATACCAGCATCGAGCTGGTGCGTGGGCCGGGTCGCAACGGACAAACTCTCGGCGATCTCCTAAAAGAAAAAGCGGATCAGGGAGTAACGGTACATCTTCTACTGTGGGATGAGATTCTTTCTACGGACAATGTGAATTTGTCAGCCATGAACACAGGTGATAACAAAACACGCGATTTCTTCAAAAACTCCCGAGTGAAAGTTGCCCTCGCCGTGCGAAACAAGAAGGGTGTGAAACATGATCGAATTAGAAATCACAGGTTCTCGACCTTATGCTTCTCTCATCATCAGAAAACGGTTATTACAGACGTAGCTAGTCAGGGCGGTGATGGAAAAAGCCGACATCTAGTCGCTTTCTTAGGCGGTCTTGATCTAACTACGGGGCGATATGATACGCCGGAGCACCCGCTCTTTGCCACGTTGGACAAGGAACATAAGAATGACTTCGTAAACAACGTCGTCAAAACCACCGTTGATAGTGGCCCTCGCCAACCGTGGCACGATATTCACTGTCAAGTTGAAGGTCCAGCAGTAGAAGACATTCTTGAAAACTTCACGGGACGATGGATAAAGCAAGGACTTAAGGACGACACCAGCATTAACTTTAACAATGTCGAATTGAAACACCATGTACTGAGCAAGGACAGTTGGAATGTTCAAATTTTCAGGTCCATCAGTCACGATTCATTTCATTTTCGCATCCTAAATTTGAAGAATATTTTCAAGAAGTCGGGTGTGATGATTGAAGACAGTATTCACAAAGCTTACGTCCACCATATAAAAAGAGCACAGCATTTTATCTACATCGAAAACCAATACTTCATGGGAAGTAGCCATTTATGGACCAAATGCCGGGACATTGAAATTAGCAATCTGGTTCCACTTGAAATTGCAACAAAAATCACCGAAAAGATCAAACAGAAGGAAGAATTTGTGGTGTACGTAGTTCTGCCGATGTTTCCTGAGGGTAGCCCGGAAAATGGATGGATGCAGGCAATGTTGCACTGGCAATTCCATACCATAGAAATGATGTACGGAATGATAGGAAAAGCCATCGCAGAAGCTAACATCCAAGCCAGTCCCCAAGACTACCTGATGTTCTTTTGTCTGGGGAAACGAGAGGGCTACGATTCGGTGCCGCAACGACTAAAAGCTCCTCTCACAGCACCGGCGGAGAAGGCCTTCACGAATCGTCGATTGATGATTTATGTTCACTCAAAGATGGCCATCTTCGACGACGAGTATATCATTGTTGGATCCGCCAACATCAACGACCGTTCTCTGAGAGGAACGCGAGACACTGAAATTGCAATGGGTGCTTTCCAACCTCATCTGAACGACCCAACCAAAGGTGAAGTGAGCCAGTTCCGTAAAAGCTTATGGGCTGAGCACTTTGGATCAAAGGCGCCATTGGATCTTGATCCTGGCACAACAAAATGCGCCAAAACGGTTCGCTCGATGGCCGAAGAGAACTTGCTGCGTTACTACAACGTTATTATGCCATTGCCAGAAGGACATATAATGTTGTATCCCCTGAGTATCGAAGAAGACGGAACTGTAAGATCCCGAAAAAACATGGAGGAATTCCCAGATACCAGCGCTCCTGTCGAAGGAAAAAGAGGAATACAGAGTATGGTTACAGAAGTCACTACCTAGATGAAGTATAAGAAACTCTATCACCTTCCAAAGAATGAACAACACTTTTTTCAAAGCAATAGGTTATATTATAGCTTGTATAGGTGCTTATTGATCGCCAGATTGTAATTCGAATTTAAATGTTTAAGGCCACCCATTCGTGAAATGGCAAATTTTTTAAAAGCGTTGAAAAATAGTCATGCTGAGAATACTGATGTGACAATTTGCAATGATTCGTCTTGGTATTAGTCAACTATTAATGTTCGCTAAATAATTCACAAACGCAAGCTTTTATTGCATTGTTTTTACCTACGTATTGCCTTTATTGCTTTAGCTACGTATTGCATTATTGCTTACCTATGTATTGATTTTTTGTATTGTTTTACCTGTTTTTGTTTATTGTATTGTTTTTAATTAGTACCTACGTTTTGTACCCACGTTTAGCACCTCCGTGAAAGATGGGTGTTATTCATAATTGTTAATTCAGAATGTGTGAACTGTGAAAAATCATAAAATTTCTCGCTTATATGACAGCTAATAAACATAATAGAAACTGTCGACACATTACAGCGAATTTTAAGGTTAAGAACGAGCAAATTGCAAATTTATAAATCCCTCCTATTAAAACGGGAAACAGATTCGCGCACGGATTTTCGGGCGCTCCCATAGGGAATATTATCGAATTACTTCAAGAGTATTTGTTATACAGGGTGCGGCGTGGGAACTTACTCTTTTAAAAAAATCACAAAGTAAAAAGTATTAAAGATAGCGTTTTAATTCTTTCTTTTTTACAAAGAGCTACATTTAAAGTTTCGTTGGGTTTACTTACAAGTTTAATTCTTGAATATTACATCTTGTAGACATGGTCGCAACTGAACTGAGTGGACGAAAAACTTCATAGCCCGCGCACCATATTGCGCATGGCGCCACCTTCCTAGGACTAATGGCCGCCACGTGGCGCGCAATTCAAATAAGTAAGTTCCCGCGCCGCACCCTGTACCTTGTGAACTATTTTAATGAAGTATTTTCTATATTACTGAAGTTTAGTTTCGAACTACCAATCTGTAATAAATAATTAATGGCAGCCGTTCCTCTTGGCCGTAAACCACTCTTCGCGTAGCTAAGATGCATTAATGAGTTTTTCTATAAATTACAGAATTATCCAAAATAAGATTGTATATACTGTATATATACATTGTTATGGCATTATGTTGTAAACCCATGCATAATTTTCAAGATTATTATATGATTATTAAATTCCATACTATTAGTTAGAATTTTCTTCGTGTATAATTGCAGGGTTATTCACTCATAGCAAATTAATTGATTCATCTTATTTAGTTTTTTTAAAGTCTATGGGTTTTAGGAGTTCTGCACCTATGTTGCGATAGAAATCGCGGCGAGAGAGAGATATCATACACACGGGAGAGAGAATAATAAGCGACAGTGTTGCTGAGATTGGCAATAATTTTGGCCGAGAAGTTTTTCCCTATTGACTAAGAACTACCATCCTATGGCGGCCATGACACCACAGGATGTCAGGTGAAACTGAGAGCAAGATGGAAAAAATTCGGTCACAGCTCAACAAATGTGAATATAATGGCTGACTTGACCCTCAAAATTCTGTTTACCATAGAGACCCAGCGTTATAATTATCATTGTGACCCCAGCGTTCTGTTTACCATAGTGACCCAGCGTTATAATTTTCATTGTGACCCCAGCGTTCTGTTTACCATAGTGACCCAGCGTTATAATTATCATTGAGACCCCAACATTCTGTTTACCATAGTGGCCCAGCGTTATAATTATCATTGAGACCCCAACATTCTGTTTACCATAGTGACCCAGCGTTACGATTATCATTGTGGCCCCAACATTCTGTTTACCATAGCGACCCAGCGTTCTGATAATCATTGTGACCCCAGCGTTCCTTATATCAGCGTTCCAATGGATTGTGAAACCATTTACAATGCAATAACTTTTTATACAGTGCGAGTCAGGTATCTTGGGAATTTTACTAGTACCTATTCACTATTAAATCATTTTCATAGAATGGAGTCGACACCTTGCACATCATCTGTACGTAATATGAACGTCACGCAACATTGTTGGTAAATCAGCGTGTGTAAATTCTAGGTATTGAGGATTCATTCATTGTAATAACTAATATGTTGCCGATACAAGTTGGATTAGATAAAGGATTGGTAACTCTCCGTGGAGCAGATTCTAAATAGTTTGAGATTAAATTTACTTGTACCCAAGAAACCTAGTATTGAAATAAGCTGCATCTTTCACTGCCCCCTATTTGTGATATTTACTAAGGAAACTTCGAACTGTTCAATAATCTACAAATCGTGGTCAGTACGTCTTAGTGATTCCCCATTTGAACAGTCTATAAACCTGCCGGTCAAGTCGTCCGCACTTGAGCTGGTTCGAAGAAAATGCTAAATGACTTTTCGAAATTTTTAGCAGCCGGGTCGTCCGGTTCATGCTGGTTCATACTCTTTCGTCCAACCAATTTCCCATAAACAACAGAGCTATTTTGAAGAGATTTCGCACATGAACTCTCGAAAACCATTATAATCAGACTTGATTACATGATTTTTCTGACGCAACATCATCCCTTAGTTACATCAGACTTACATGGATGATGGATTCTTTTCAAAGATTGATTCTTTTCAAAGGCTTTCGAAAATAAACCGGTTTGCTAAAAAAATTAAAATATTATTTTTATTCACAAATTTCCAGTTTAGTGATAAATAATAAAAGAGTAACTATAATTATTAATTTGACAATCTAAAACGTCGCAAACGAGAAAGGCGAAATGGATGAAAATAATCACGACCTAAACATCACCGTAAGCCTACGGTCCTAATGAACTACTAAGTTTCATGAAGCTGCGTTCATTAGTTTGAACGATATTTTTGTTCGCTGCAAATTTGACAATCTGCAGCTGAAATGCTGATCGCTTCTCCATATAACCGTATAACTCGCAAATAATGCCCTATATAAACATATATGCACAAGATGAACATCTCTTTTAGGTAATTAGGAATGTATAACAAAACATAACATAGTGATGTCGGCAAGTGTAGGCCTGATGTGGCCTGTCGCCGATTCTTTTCCCTTTCGTGCTTTGTTCACAGAAGATCTAAAATCATGTCATTTGACCGGATCTTTTCATGACTGACAATAGTTTGAAATAGCTACTAGACTTCCACCGGGTTCGATATGGTGCTAGGCATTTCAAATCTGAACATATATTTTTTCACAACTTTATCTAGTCTGTTCTTGAACGCGTTCATACTTGGAGCGCCAACGATGTAATCGGGGAGGCTGTTCCACATGTCGGTGATTACTCACAGTTTCGAGCAAATCTGTTCAGTAGCCTAGAAATATTTTATGTTCACTGCGACTTTTGGCCGGTATGACAGAAAAAGTTGGAAACGATTGAAAAATCAAAAAGTAATCATGCCCTAAACATCACCGCATGGCCGTAATAATAGGCTGTGCAAAGTTTGATCAAGCTGTGTTCATTAGTTTAGGAGATATTTTTTGTTCACTAAATCTTGGAGAGACCATCCGAAAAATTGCTCGAGGGCCGAGAGGTCTGCATTACTCACTCTTCGCATTTAGCTTCTAATTTATTGCTTTCATTCAAAATATCTCAGTTCAGAAACTTTTTGTTTATTTCTACCTTAACGGTTGGTTTCTGCCTCGACCACTTCATATATGGATAACAACCGTAGTCTTTCTACGGCAACTAGCGATATTCTGGTAGTCACAGAAGAGAAGCCTACTACCGGTAGTTGGTAAAATTAGTGACAGCCATGTATGACCGCCGGTATAGGCTGCATAATTAGTTATGTATGAATGTTTCGTTCTACCTGGCGATTATTTGTTTAGTAGCAAACATCAGAATTATAGTAGTTTTTACTTATGATCATTGCTAATAATAGATAAAACACAGAACAGTTTTCGTCTTCATTATCCAGAACTCAATATTCAATAAGTCGACAATGATCTGATTTCTACAAAAAATTCATTACTAAAATGCAATTATGCAAGCGCGGAAATTTATATGAATGCTCTCGATCCGGAATTGAAAAGTTGATGTCAGATTTGTTTTTTTTTTCTTCGTGTATTTTCCTTGCGTTGTAGTTGTTGGAATTTGGAAAACTAGCTATTTACTAGTTGATCGCAGTTATCGCACTATTTCTCTACTTTTAACCTCTCGTAGAGCAGTGAATTGTTCAAATAGAATTTAACGCTTGCAATAATTTGCAGCATTTTGCGTCTGTGACTTTGCGCTTGATCCGACTGCCGGCTTGAATTTATAAAATTCAGATATTCTGTAAATTAGCCTACCTAACAATGAACAGGACACTGAGAATAAAACATAATTTCATTGATGCAGTGCGACTTTACATTCGAGGTGGCCCTGGTGGAGCAGGCTTGCCTAAATATGGTGGAATTGGTGGACAAGGGGGCAATGTTTATGTGGAGGGCAAAAATGATCCAGGTAAGTCTGACAGACTGAAACACTTAGAGTTAATAAGAAAATGATTTGAATATCTTGAAATAAAATTCTTTGCACATCACATTGCAGAGTGTTTTTAACAAATTAGCTGTAGCCTATTTACTTCTAATTTATTTAAACATGCAGGCTCCCAAGTCCCAACCTTATCAATTATCATTATAGGTAATTTAAGGTAAATAAGGTAATAATATATATTATATATTGATATATTGCCAAGCTGGAAAATAAGGCAAAAGCTACTTGTGCAGGAAAAAAAAATATATAGATGAATTAGGTACCCTTTTCCATAATCCTTGTCTAGTTAATTTTAAAGAATCGAGAATAAATTTACATTATTTATTTTTGACAGTTACTTATAGAAAACTTCTATTATTTGATTGTTTTTACATGCACTTCTTTGAAAACTGTACCTAATTGTCAGGTTTGGATTGGTTAGAGTTTTTAGACAATAAACAGTAGTTGTGACCAGGCATGGAATGTATCTACTTGGCGAGCCTTGGCTGGATTTTTCAAGCTGTGATTTCATCATTTTCATGGGTTTGCCAGGTGCCAGCTGTGATTCCATTTCTTTGAGCAGTGAATTCCATCATCCATGTTCTTGGTGTGAAAAGTCATAATTAGTCATTTACAAGCCACAAACCTATTATTTACATTTACCATGCATGTGTTATCCCACAGCTCTAATTTTAACTTAAAAACAGTCACTAACATTTGTCTTCACTTAAGCGGCAATTGAACAAGTGATTATGCAGTCTGACCGCTCTGACGTGACCGCAACTACCGTCAAATGGGGTAAAAAGGGATGGGCAGTGTAATAGCCTAATAGGGACGTGCGTCCCAGTTCCCACATTTGGACGAAATGTTGTAGCAGCTAAACTAATCAAAATATTGCAAAACTAAAAATAGTGGCGTAAACTTCTTCATTTTTACTATCTATTATGTATAAAGCTAGTCAAGAAATCAAACATTTACTATCTCTAAAAAATTGCTGAAAAAAAGTGTGAAAAGTGTGATTTTGAATAACCTATTAGATATGCAAACTTTTCAAATCTCTTTATTGTGTTATGTAGCCTCAGTATTAGGCCTTTAATGCCCATTGACAAAATTTTTCTATGTCAAATAGTTTTTGAGTTGTGGGGGTTTTTGTTAAAAAAACGAAAAGTGGTCTAAGTTACCCCGCCGGTCTAAGTTACCCCATTTTACGGTATGATTGTTGTCGCTAGAACATTATTTTCTGTTTCAGGTATGTTTATCACAATCTTTTTTGTTATAGTGAAATCACTAGATTTGATTAAAATTGTGTGAAATTACAAACCATCCTGTAAGCTTACAGATACAGAAGAAATGCTACATGGCTGCTGATATGAAGCTTGCAGTGGACAAGGGCGTTGTCAATGCTCAATGGCATGTCCATGGATACAGTAATATCACATTAATAATATGGTAAATAATGAATATGGTAATATCATATCAATAAAGGAAAAACAAGTAAAAATCACAGAAAATGTCATTTATTTTACATCTACATCATTTACAATAAAAGAGGAGGACTTCAGAGTACTGTTAGTAATGGATGAGTACACTCTGCATACTTCAAACATTTTAAAATTAACTTTTATTGCAAGTGTCCCGGATTACCCCGTTCCCAGGGGTAAATCGGGATGTTTTTATTTTGCATCTGGCACCTTACAAATAGCATATGGAATTTTTTTGAAGATGCCATTCGATAGCCCTTGCAAAGAGCTATAAAATGAGCCAAAACTTGTTCTGAAATGTTTCATGGTAAGAAGTTATTAAAAAAACTCTCAAAACCATCCCTTTTTACCCCGTTTGACGGTACGCAATCTTCAAGGAAACATTTTAGTTTGACTTGTTATTACTTTCTGCATGTTATTTTGAGGAGAGGCAGGAGCATTAAGGTATATATACTGCGGATTGTGGAATTTGAAAATTTTATGAAATGTCATGTTTGCAATGTGCTAACTGTGATTTTTTCAATCAAACAAAAATTTATGACATTAGAACCATGAGATTTCATACTGTTAACCGGGGCTACTCGGGACAAGCGGGGCTACTCGGGACAGGCCTCCGACATGGCGTAAAACTGTTGTAGTAGCGAAACTAATTGGAATATTGCAAAACTAAAAATAGTGGCGTAAATGTCAACATTTTTCCTATCTATATAGTATAAAGGAAGTCAAAAAATACTACATTTACTTGCTTTGAAAAATTCCTGAAAAAAATGGTGAAAAACTATATTTTGTAAAGTTACAACTGCTAAGGTATGTAGCAAAAAAATATTTGCCGTATTAAAAAATTTTACTTAGGTAAAAGTTGCACCCAGGTGTCGGCTTGAAAACGGAATTGACAGAATTTGCCTATCTCATTCCAAAAAGAAATGGCAGCCATTTCTGCATGGCGGGGCTACTCAGGACACCCCCCCTGGCTATTCGGGACACCCGCAAAAACGCATTTACGGTAGAACCTCAGTTAGCAAAGGTTCCAATTATGAAAAAAATTGATTAAAAACAAAGAATATTGATCACATTTTCCTTGCTCAGCGAAAAAAATTTCACTTATCGAAAAATTAGTACATCATCGGTCATCACAAAATTGTGCATAGCATGTCATGTATAGAATTGTGCACCAGGCATCATAGAATGAAAAGTAATTGACCTAAACTATGATTTATTTCTCCAAAAAATACGTTGGTTGTCACTGAAAAATTCTTTTCTGTTTCAGGTATGTTTTTCACGATATTTTTTACTATAGTAAATTCACTTAACCCAATTAAAATGATGCGAAATTACGAGCCGTCCTGTAAGCTTACAGATACGAAAAAAATGCAATAAGGCTGCTGATATGAAGCTTGCAGTGGACAAGGTTGTTGTAAATGCTCAATGGCATGTTCATGGATACGGTAGTATTGCATCAATAATACGATAATTGCACATCAATAATACGGTAATTAATGTATATGGCAATATCATATCAATAAAGGAAAAACAAGTAAAAATCATGGAAAATGTCATTTATTCTACCTCTTCATCACCTGCAATGAAAGAGGAGGACTTCAGAGTACTGTTAGTAATAGATGAGTACGCTCTGCATGCTTCAAATGTTTTGAAATGAAGTTTTATTCCCATTGTCCCGAGTAGCCCCGACTGACGGGGCTACTCGGGACAATCTTTATTTTGCGTCTGGCACCTTACGAATAGCATATGGAATTTTTTTGACAATGCCATTCGATAGCCCTCGCAAAGAGCTATAAAATGAGCCTAAATTTGTTTATGAAATATTTCATCGTAAGAAGTTATTAACAGTTATTAACAAAAAAAAAACACTTCGGTTTAGGTGGCAACACTAGCGAGTGCCGCCTAATCTGGGCAACACTTTGGTTGAACCATGGGACTATATCCAATTGCCGACTCGTATTAATCAAGAACCATGGACGGCAGAGCTGACAGAGCGTATAATCGAGTATAATTTTCACTTCTAAAGAGCAGTACAAATAGCACTATTTTTTGAGGTTACAGCACAGCTTCTCGATATATTCAGCCTTCTGGTGTGAGTCACTTCAAGATATCACTTTGAACAAATAAATTTTATTTCATATGCAAGTAATGATAGTTGTGATAAATTTATAGGATTGACTTCTAATATTTAGATTAGTCTTGCAAGTCATCATCTCTATACCGCAGAAATGAGTTTAAATTTTTTCATCTTCCGAGTATAAATATTCTACCGTCAATGCCTACATGTCAAAAACTTCGCCACATGGGTCGCCTGCCGAAGACCACTACTGCCCTGGATGTAATGGACCATTATGATTCCTGCCTTCCGGATCGTCGCCTTCATCACTTGAAGCCGTCCGGATCTAGGCCGTAGGTCGAACCAGCCCTCGGTCGAACGGCCACTTGTCGAAAGATGATAAATTTTGGAACAGAACTATGCTATCTGAAACCTAACCTCAGATGCAGTGAACGTATTAACGATGCCCGGAAGTCAGATTCGATCCGTGGCCTGGTGGTGCACGGCAGGTTCTATGCGAGGCCGGAGGAAGACAAAGCCGAGTGGTTCACGGCTGATTGGTGGATGTCCGAAGATATCCAAGGCGTTCGATTCAGGGCTTATTGGTGCACAAAATTGGTGGTGCACGGCTGCGCTCCCCGCCAAACATCACTTATGTCGCCTACCACTTTACTATCTATTTTGTTAGCAAAATAACAAAACTGAGCCCAAACTCTCTAACGCGAACGAAAAGCTTTATGGTTGATAGGTGGCAATTGAATCCTCAATATCATGTATTATACGGTTTTATTTACGGTCGGCGAGTAACGTGCAATTCGCCGCAGGCTGGCGGCTTATGTAGCATTGGCGGTAATTCAACTCATACACGTGATGTAATTGGTGTATTTTTTGCTGTCTGAAAGCCTTGAGAGTAAATGCATGCACTGCAAATGGTTAGAAATACATTAAATATAAAAATTTTCTATTAATTTCAAATGGGGCCTTTTTGGGCCTTTTTTGTGAGTCAAATTGGCCTTTTTCTCTTGGCTCCATCTGGCAACCCTGCCGAGTAGCCCCGGTTGACGGTACCTACTGAAATTATATGATATTGGAGCTGCGATATTTCAGAAAAAAATAGGACATTACTAGCCCTGGTTGTGACTTGTAACTTATGAGAATAGTATATTAGTTTGTAATTTTGGAGTTGGTAAGTTCTATTTTATGTCAGATATTTTGGTAGTTTATGAATTTATTTGTGAGCTCTAAATTTTTTTTGCAATGCATTTTCTTTGCTAGTTTACAGCCAGAGCCAGTAGCTCTTCTTTTGAATTGAAATCAATTTTCACAATTGAAAGCAACAATAATAAATTTGGGGAACTTGAAGAATTGAGTGAAATGAAGGAAATAATCAGTATAAATCAGTTTTGTATACTTCATGACTGACTAATTATGATATTGAGATCTTTTGGTGTCAGATCAACCAGAAGAGTTTAACTTGTTACAAACACTGAATTGCAAACCAAGGTCAGGTAGATCCTGCAGGTGACTTTCTGCATGAATGCAACTGACTTTCTCCTAAGTTGGGAAAAGAGCTTTTCTACCATTTTTGGTGACACAAGATTCAAGTATTCAGAACAAAATTACATCATTCTGGTGGGTACATAATCTCCTGTATCTGGCTCCAAAGTCATTTATTTTGAAAACATTGCTTCTTAAGTATGGCCTGCTCAGACAAACATTTATCATGGTTGAGCTCAAGGCCTGAAACTACTTATCTTGATTTATTGCACAAACTTCACATTTTTTCCCCTAAATTGGTTACTTATTATCATTGTTTCTCAAACAATCCCTGTTAGTTTTCCTTTGTTCCTTCCAGAACCCATTTTTTCGAAATTAATGATAATCCTTGATGTATATACATCATATACATATATTCAAAAAAATACTTAAAAATACTTTTTTAAAAAACACGTTTTTCTTGTGGACTAAAAAGTAGAAAATAAATTATAGCTCGCCCCAAAAAACGTGTGTCGGGCAGATTTATGATTAAAGCGAAAAGCACACAGCACACGAATTTTGGAAATTTAATGGTGAACGTACAGCCCGAACCACATTATTTTTTGCTTCTGGCACCTTATGAATAGCATATGGAATTTTTTTGAAGATGCCATTTGATAGCCCTCGCAAAGAGCTATAAAATGAGCCTAAACTTGTTTATGAAATGTTTCATCGTAAGAAGTTATTAACAAAAAACGCTCAAAACCGTCCCGAGTAGCCCCGGTTGACGGAATGCGAAGCTAAGCTAAGAAAAACGTATTAATATGAGGTCTAAAGTAGGACAGACGTAGACAAGTTGAGTGAAATTAATTGATTTATTGTCATTATTTTCCCATTTAAAACCTTGGCTACCCCAACCCCATCTGTGTTTCCTGGATTCATTAAATATGGCATTAAATTAAATTATTATTATTATTATTAGTCCTGTCTTTAATTCCTCTTTAAACATCACATCTCTTATAGTCTTGGCAGAAAAATATGACCAGGCATATCCATAATGACCAGGCATTTCCATTGATATGGAGCTGTATTTGCATTCTTATAAACTGTAAACAAATATTTACAATTAAAACTCCTCACATTTTCATATTTAAATATATGTATAAATTGTTTGTTTTAAAGCATAAGTGCCAATTTCACACCATCTAGTAGCATTTGTTGATGATTTGATTTTTATTGCAAACCAAAGTTTGCTTTTTGATGACTAGCTTGTTATAGCTTGATGTGAAAACATTTATTTAACCCTTTAGCAGGCAAGCATTGATATATCCAGAAATTAAAGTTTCAGAAACCATTTAAAGAAAGTAAGAAGTATTATACAATATATTTATTTCTATGAATTTTTGCAAATTTTGCCTATTGAAGGTTTAAATTGCACTTGAATTTAATAAATGCGATCAGTACACAAAATTTTTCTTTATAATTAAAATTCAGTTGATGCAAATGAAAAATTAGAAATATAAAAATTTAATTTAATTAAATTTAATCAAGTTGCCAAAATAAATAAATATATATATTGATACTTCCACCTTCGGAAGAAAATGCGGAAAGGGCGTCAGTTCCATTGTCCTAGTCAAAACCTTCATTTAAATGCTCATATTTCAATTTGTGGACTTTGCAGCTGGTGATGCTATAGATAGAACGATGGTCAGATAATTAGTGATAGACTGAGGCATTATAAGGATGCCTCAAAAACAAACAGGAAGCCGTGGTGAGGCTTTTTGTGATGCGATTTCAAGTGATCATATATGGTAACTTCCCTATGAAAGGGTTGAGAGTGCATAATTTCATTCTGGTGAACATTATTGTGTGCATTGTTTTTTTATTTAATTCTTAATTTTGTTTAAGCTCAATATTTTAGATTATTTGTTAAAATTTTCTTAGACATTTGCATTTTTTTTCAGTGAAACTCTATGATCTTAGATCACTGCGAGATTTGAATGGACTGAGGGGTGGAAATGGAGGTGCAAGCTCTCAGTTCAGCTTGGTTGGACGTAATGGCAAAGATGCAATCATCCATGCCCCTCCAAGCACAGTATGCATCACTGAAGCAGGCACCTTGCTAGGTTTGTGAAAAGTTGAATTTGATGGTAGCTTGACCTTTACTTGACCTTGAGAGGCATTTTTTAAGTTCTCAGGCATTTTAAGGTAATAAGTTCTAAGTTTTGGTATTTAGATAAGTATTGTTTCTTAGCTGCTATAAAATACATCCAGATCTTTCTTGATATTTGACAATGTTGTAACATTAGATCATTTAACTCCAAGTTTAATTGAGATCATTTTAATTATTATGTGCTCCACTGGTTATTTTTTCAGGAGAAATCTATGAGGAGGGGGACAGAGTTCTTGTGGCCAGAGGTGGTGATGGAGGAAGCCCCACCAATGGCTTTATGCCACAACTAGGGGAGGCATGTACTAAATTAATCAATCCTCATATATATGTAGGGTATATACCTATATTTTTAAATCTTGTTTTCCTATTGACTTGATATGACTTTGATGATTTTTGTTAAATTAGCCTAATACATTTTTTCTTTTAGTTTGATGTTGTTTAATGAACTTTTTTTCAGAAACATCATGTGAAAATCATAATCAAGACAATCTCTGATGTGAGTCTAGTTGGTTTCCCAAATGCTGGAAAAAGCACATTACTCAAAGCCATTGCTCGTTCCCGGTTCAAACCTCGGATTGCTGCATATCCATGTAAGTCATGCATATATCTACTGATTATAATTTAAATTCTAGTGTCAGTTCTAATTATTTCCATTTAGATTTATATCTCATGATTTAAAGTTAATATCCTACAAATAGTTTTATAGAAAATATCACTTTATTTACATAGACTTTTTCTCTGGTTGCCATAATTCATATTATATTTTTTATATCATTGCTTATGATGATGATCACTTCATCTTGATTATGAAATTAAATGCTAATAATCTGTCACGAAATTAAGATTCTATTAGATGATCAATGATGCTCGAACTAAACGTTATTATCAATGCATCAGTTACAACTCTGTCACCGCTGATGGGGACTCTGGAGTATCCTGACTTGCGGACCATCAGCATTGTCGACCTGCCAGGCCTCATAGAAATGGCACACGCCAACCGAGGTCTTGGGCACTCATTCCTGCGTCATGTTGAGCGCACCAAAATACTTCTCATCATGATCGATGTGCAGGGATTTCAGTTAGACCATAAAAACCCATACAGAACTCCACTTGAAACTTTCTTGTTGCTCAACAAAGTAAGATTCTATAATTTATTTATGAAATTGATTCTATATCATTAGAAACATTGTACTGTAATATTTTTTTCTCATGATTTCATTAACATAATTAAATTATTTGTGGTCCTTGCCAGTTTTCTTGTACTTGGGGTTAGTGTCCAAAATATGTCTATAATCAGGATAGAAAAAGCTTTCCATCAAAATTGTTTTTTATTATTAATAACTCTCTCAACTAAGTTCCTCCATCTTTGCAGCTTGCCATGACTGATGTTATGTTTTATTGTATCGCAGGAGCTGGAGCTGTACGATCCTCTGCTTGTTTATAAGCCTGCTATGGTGTTGATCAACAAAATGGATACTAAAAATGCTACCGCTATTTACGATCGTCTGGTGCATGATCTACAAAATATCAAAGGTTTGAGAATAAATTGCCCAGCATCTATATTCGCAGTGTCTTTTTGTTCCTCTGAGGGGCTTTGTGTTTCTTGCGCCGGGTCCGATATCTTCATGAGCAGTTGCCACTCACCGTTCCTTTAGTTCGTCAAATGAATAACGACTCTTCTGTAATTTATTAGAACTTCAGTTAATGAACTTGAATGAATTTCAGTAATACTAAAGAAACACTTTCACATTTGTTGCTAGCGCTTTTTTACCCTGATTGATTTTTTTTGTCAACTGTTAAAAAACCTATGTTTTTCTGTTACTGCATAGCTACTTGACCATGGTTGAACTAGTATAAGGTTGACCCATGAGCAGCTCATTTTCGCGGATGGAGCTTGTTGTTTGCCTGTGACGTCACTGATCTCAGAGACGTCACCGGCATTAACAACTCACCGAAATACGTTCAAAACAGTCAACCAATCCGTCGTGGGAGTGACCGGTTTGTTAAAGTTTCTCGATCTCAGTGACATAACAAGAATGCTGAACTGAATGGTGGAACTTCTCGTGGGTCAACCTTATATAGTTCAACCATGTACTTGACTGCTCCATACTGGCATTGAATTGATAGTCATTATTCTTCAGATGTCTTACCTACGCTACCAGAGGAGATGCGGCCAAAACAGCTGCTTCAAGTGCAGGAAATTGCCGGCGTAAGTGCCAAAAAGAACGAAAAAAGCGTTGCTTACGTCAAGGATCGGATTCGAGTCCTACTAGACCTCTACACTGATGAGCTGTGTGCAGAAAATGCAACGGATCTCGCCACTGTTGACAATTCTAAAGATGAGAAGCTGTTTTTAAATAAATTAAAGGAACACAACGTGAAGTTGGTGTGAAAGGAACTGTATTCACTGTATGTTCTGTCGCCATTTTTTTAATTGGTAAGAAGGTTGCGTCTCGAGACGTTTAATTGGTCTTCTCTCCTAAATTGAGGGAATACTACGCGAAAATGATTTGGTGGGTGGATGAGAGGCAAGTCGTTTTTCTCGAATCATTATAGTTAGGTGTGTAGTGTGTTGGTTACTAGCAGCTGCAGACTGGTTTCAAAATGAGTAATGCAATAACTTATTTTGATTATAGAGGTACAGTGGCGTCTGGATGTCAAACACAAGAGTGGCATACTTATTGTAATACCTTAATGCATGCCTTGGTTTACGGTCAGAAATCCAACATTCAGCCTTCAATTCTTTGCGCAATTCGTCATGTTGCGCTGAAACTGAGCATTATGGTGTCAAGATGATGTACAGGTATCTGATACTAGCCGTATGAAGCGTCAAACTTCTTGCTGCTATTAATTATAAATGTTGAAAATCGTTGTTTCATTGAGCCTGATGATGCAAATTGGCACATTTTATACCGATTCTTTCCAAGTATAATGTAAATGAATTTACAGGAACCTAAGGATCATGTGTAACAAACTTGTGTTAAGATATTTTCTATTTTGCAGTACGGCTCATAGGATGCGCCCATCATTAGAGTAACATAACATAACATAGTGATGTCGGCGCTGAAGTGTAGGCCTGATGTGGCCTGTCGCCGATTCTTTTCCTTTTCGTGCCTTGTTCATAGATCTAAACTCGTGTCATTTGACCGGATCTTTTCATGACTGACGATAGTTTGAAGTAGCTACTAGACTTCCACCGGGTTCGATAACTGCCACGTATCAGCCCAGTTAACTAAGCTGTCAAGATCATCTTGCAATTGCGCTTTATTTGACGCATTCTTCACTGAATTATAAACTTTTGTGTCGTCGGCATACATGGAGCACACGCTGGACACTACTTAGAGTAAAGCTACAACCGAGTGTGCGTGTGCCCCAGCAGTGCTCTAGAATAAGAAATACTGTGCAAAATAGGCTGTTCAACAGGAATTAATTGTAGGTATATATGTATGTTTGGTTCTCCGCAAGTTTAGAATTTCTGCTGCAGAACAGTTCAAATTTAAGAAAATTATTTTCATACAATTTTTCGAACGAATATGGAATGCGCCTCTATGAATTATGAATATGCACCATAATGTAACGAAGCGTGAATCCGTTCATAATAATTATAGTTACTATCTATCATTCACCGAAACTTGAAAAGTACAAAAATTTAGTAAAGAGTGCAAAGACTTGCAACCAGGATAATTCAAGGCTTGAAGGGCAAGTCGTATGAAGAAATATTAATGATTAAGAAGCTTCTAAGCCTCTTATCGACGTCTGCTTGGTGACCTCATTGAAGTATATAAGTATACTCATGGTTTGGACAAGGTCCCAGAAGGATTGCTAGAATTTGAAATAAGAATAAACACCAAGGGCCACGGCTATAATCTAATAACGTACGTTTAAAAATTAAGACAGTACTTCTAAAGAATCCAGTGTCTCCAATGTTACAGATGTACAATGAATTTCTCATTTTATATTCGAATATTAAAAAAATAATGTTTCAATTTTTTTATTATATAAAATTTTGTTTCAAAATTATTCTGCTAATTGATTCATGCATTGCCTCCGACTTCACACAAGTGTGCAAAATTTCAGATCAATTGGACAGATAAAAGTGTGTCAAATATCAGTTATAAGATTTGTAGCTGACATAATAATTTTTTAATATTGAAATTTTGTCATTTGATTCTTGCATTGTCTCCAACTTTACGCAAGTGTGCTAAATTTCAGATTGATAGGATAAGTAGAAGTGTGTTAAATTTCTATTATAAGATTTGTAGTAGACAAACAGACAAGAAGTGAAGTTAAAGAGAAGTGTGGTAAAAACAGGCATTGAACGCGATCGTGTCCATTTGCAGATGTGAATCAATCAACATAAGCTTAATTGACGTATTTTCTGGCGAAAATTGAATTTTTCCAATATTTTTAAGTCGACTTAATCACATTTTTTCAATTGAAAAAAATTGACATTTGAGGCAAACCTGTTGTTATTAATCCCGAAAGTTATCGCCAGTTTCTGACACAAAAATATACCGTTGTGTGTTTCGTATAGCTACCGCAAATCGGTTAAATTTTCCACGGCCAGGAGCCAATTATTTTGAAAGCTCTCACCAAAACACAACATCTGTCATCAAATAGTTCCGACTGAACATGTTTGTAACATTTATAAAAGAAATGAAGTTTGCTGACGCCTTAACAACGTTTAAACAGTTTGCCGTCAATGTCGCAGTGAAAAAAATTTCAGTATCGATTCATCGAGTACAAGTATATAGATGATTTGTTAATTAGATGAACTTTGAAGAATACAAAAACTGTTTGTTTTGCAATGATGCATCAACGAACTTTGATGGCCTAGGATCCGCACTTGCCATTGTATACATCAACGCACGTTCATGTATGATTTCTAATAATTATATTATCTAAGGTGACGATAGAGCCACTATTGAGTACCGCACCGGGTCTTCTGTGATGGAAAGATGCAGCCTCAATCATGTTTGGTTGTTGCAGTTGGCTCGGCTTCTACTTAGAAATCCTGGTAAAGCTTAGACGCAGCACGCGTTTAAAGTTTCAGTTTGATAAGTTTTTCGGGATCTTGAAGTAGCACCTCGAAAGTAGCACTATAAGTGGCTGCTCTTGTACCTAGAGCTCACGTCATCGGTTACGGTTCAATCATTGTTGATCCTCTTCTTTGGAGTTTGACAATTGGACGGTTATAAATAGCTGCGATGGATAGATTAGCAGCATACCATCGTGGTGAAACTTTCATAGCGATAGCTACCCGTGGTACTCTCTCACCTTCTTTAAACTATGACGTCACTTGAGTAAACGATGTTATGAGTTCGTATCCACTTGAAACCGTTGAAACCTATGCAATAGGTTTTGCATTCCTTAGGCAATTTGTATCTCCTATTTTGGTCAAAATCGTATTAATGAATTTTTTGTACTGATGATGGAGCTGGAATCCGATAAGTTTTCATTGCAGACAAAATGAATTTTTTGGCGTTTTCTTTGATTTAAATGCTTAGTTCATATGACAAGTTGCAGCGAATCCGTCATTTCCTAATTTAAAGTAGAATTGTCTTTGCAGATAAATTTAAAAACAACCCACACTTTATCTAACTATGACAATTTGGAATTTTTGAATTTATGCAGAATTTGTCACAAATTTTCATAAAACATGAAAATGCATAATGCATTGATCAAACCTTCATAACTGCATTTCTTCTAACAATAATTAATGCTCTGTGAGTCCGACTGAGGAAAGTCTAATTTTCAGCTCGGATTTTTTTTGTAGAAGGCCGTAGACTGATTTTCGGAAAGATAAAACATAGAATAAATTTTCATCTAAATGCATTACCTAAATATAGATCGAAAAGAGGGCTAAATAGTTTCCACGTTGATTAAAATGATTGGATGTGCTATACTGATTTTTAAAATGTGTTCTAAATTCATGTAAAGAAAAAAGCACTTTGTGCCCTCATGTGATATGGTGCCCTCATTTTGATGGTGACTTCGAATCTTAATTCCGCACCAAAGGATGGGCAACTCAGACGTCGTCCACCGCATGTAAATTGGGTCTCTATAAACAAAATTAGCGGAGCCTCACATACACGACATACATACGACATTCACCAAATGCAAACGATCAGTCACACGCAGGCTATATCAATCATACAGGTCATTTTTTCGTCACGAGAAAACGATCACTTATTCGTCACATGCGCTCGATCACTTGTTCGCCACATGCACGCGATTAACTATTCGCCATACACATACGATTAATTATTCGTCACGGGCAAGCGATCACTTATTCGCCACGTGTGAGCGATCACCTATTCGCCACATGCACACGATTAGTTATTCGCCATACACATACGATCAATTATTCGCCACGTGCGAGTGATCACTTATTCGCCACGTGCACATGATTGGTTATTCGCCATATATACACGATCGAGTGTTCGCTTCCTGCAAACGATCAATTATTCGCCACAATCGATCAATTATTTTATCAACTATTCGTCACTTACTAACGTACACGTATAACGATCATTTATCCGTCACTCAGGAACGACCGCATAAATGCACCGGGAAAAACTGGTAACCCAGTCTGCTTTGATTACACGTGTCTGAAAAAAAATCTGAAAATTGTTTTTATTTCTGAAAGGGTGACTGTTTTTCACTGATTTCATTTTGGGTCACGATAACTTCAATTAATGCCTTGAAAGGGCATTAATTTGAATTGAACTCTCATTTTACATTTAATTAAATGTCCTTAGCACCTCAATTCCCACCACAATATCGATGATTTTTTTTTATATTTTTTAACGACGTCAATATTTTAAGCTTTCCGTTTCCATGCTATGCGATTTATAAAGCGTGGAAGTGCACATCCAGCACTGGTATTAGTGGGTATGAAAATGTGTTAGAAAAAAATAAATATTTAAATCTCCGTTTGATTTGAATATTGACAACACAACATTTTAGAATATTAGTTTTTTGTAGTCTCTTTATTTATTGCACTTTGAAGCGGTAATATATTTTCAATACGCTGGAAATCGGTCTGGCGCCACAATGGTGGCGGGACGCCTCCGCTTCGTCCAACTGTCGTTCCGCTCTTCCGCAGGTCAGTTTGCAGGCAACTTCGCTAGCGATGGTGTGTGAGTGTGTGCGCGCCGCTGTCGCAACGAAACGGCCGACTGGAATCAAACTTTGACGTGCTCACTTCGTGGATTTCATTTTCTCATCAAAAAGATAAATTGCACACCAAATTTTGTTTTCATTGTATTAGGTCATCCAATATTGTTTCTACCATCGTTGGCCGGTGATTGGTACAAGTTTGTTTATTTGTCCATAGCAGAGGCAGGGTCTCAACAGCCTTTCTTAGCTATTATTATTAACTTTTAAGCACCTTCAAAGAACAACATAATACTTTTATGTCGCGACTTGGAAGACTGACGACATAAGTTGCCACGCAGTAGATACTTATCTTACCTCGGCAATTGTCATTAAAAACGTGTAATTCTATTCAGAAATACTATTGTAGGGTTCGATAACCATATGATGACCACACAGCTGTTTTAATCGCGCTAGAAAGACGTGGTATAGTTCTGTTTCTGAAATGATCGTTTCTATTGGAGACTGGTAACTTAAAAGTTATATATGTGCCGTGGCGACGTTATCGGCATTGGCGATAATAGTTGATAGTTGATTCACATGATTTCTCATCTGAACGCATGTGTCAAATAATATTCAGCCAGAGATAATAGTATTAATAGATTATATGATCTAATACCACATGAAAATGACGAGAGATTAGTTTGAAAGATTATTATCATCTTCTGAAAACAACATTCTATCATTCTGTACTACCCGTAAAGCATGGAACGACGACCAATTAGGCGTAGCGTGATGACCGGCGACCGCTTAGCCTAGTCTGAGCACTAACAGGTGCGATAAGATTGTCGCAGTCGTAATTGGTTTGGCATCAACGTTAATTAAGAGGAAAGTTAAATAGGAAGGTAGTTTAGGCTCTAGTACAGCAAATTTTAATGCCACCCATTAATTTGAAGTTTCAATAATAGTGTAGGTTTTGGATAGAGTAGCTTATTTCAATTAACTAGATCTATTAATTTAGGACTTGCTAGCATGGAGCCTGATGGCAGTAACGCAAAAGGATTGTGGTCATCATGTACCTGGGGTAGACTATAGGTTCGTCGCAACAATCCCCGTTAATAGCTATCGTGCATTTAGGCTCGAAGCTTATTAATCTAATTGACGAGCCTATGATTTATTCTCATGATGTTCCTGTCTAATATAGAGCGGTGTATCACTATTTTTTTAGTCCCAGATATTTAGTGACTTTTAAGAGCAAATATTCATAGTACCAATATATCGAACGGCAGCTTCAAATGGTGTTAGAAGAGAGCGATTTTGTACGTTTAAACTGAAGTTCTATTAATTCTAAGTTAAAGGTTGACGTCGATAGAAAGTACAACATTCAAATTCGCAATAAAATAAGGTAAGTAATTCTTTCTAATAAGACTTTAAATATTTTTTTATATATGTATTTTTGCCGTTTCAAGGAAGGAGCGGAAACTAACTTCCTTCCCCCCTTTCATTTTCCTAGCTCAGTTTCAACAGGGTGGTTTCTTCCACACTTATGATTTTAAGATTAAATTGGATTTGTTTATATGCTGGCGGATAATAGCAGTATTTAGAGGCGCGCCTCACACTTGATACAACTGAGTGCAGGGAAAATGCTGCTGGCTGGGGTACGGGCATGAACACAGCAAAGAGCAAAAAGGAAAGCTGCTAATCTGGCGCATCTCTTCCTCTCAAAACCACTTCCGAGACTCCACGCGGAATGGCGGGAATGCTAACCTCGTTTCTCATCCGTGCTCAGTTGCTAAACCTAACCATGATCAAAATTTATATATTTACGAAGCGTTGGAATATTTACTTGGTAGTGACATGAATTCAATTGTTTATTCGTAAAATTATTTGGTTACGTACATGTGTTGCCCGTACGTGCAATGAAAATATTTCTATCATGAATTATTTTTATACCTATCTGATTAGTAGAATGGATTTGCCTGCGAAAAATAGTTTTTCCTTGGATTAGGGAGACGGTGCATAAAATCTGTTAGAATTATGATTAAAGATGTAAGTACAGATTATTTTCATGCATTTATTATAACAAGCGTTTACGATGAATTGCGTTGCGGTGTTGCTGATCGATTCAGAGGCCTAAATCTTTTTATTATTGACAAGAAGAAAAATTATACCTAGATTAAAATCAAATGCTATGGCTCTCATGTTTATCTAATATCTATACCTTATCAATTCTATTTGTTAATTCCTCTTGTTGATGATTGCTTGGAAGCATCCCATGCGTCGCAGATGCGGATGTAGGTCGCGCATGTATGTCCTCAGCAACGCTAACTCGACGAAGAGAAATTGATGGAAGGATGCGTACGCGCTGGATAACGTGCATGGGCTCGGCATGCGCGAGAGCAACGTTCCGCCACAGCGTTTTTTGTTTTTAATTATCGTGCCACGACATATGTATGTTACCCGTAATCCTGGTAAGGCTGAGGAGTTAATGAAGAGTCCCGTTCACTTGAGCTCGTACTGCAATTTTCGTTGATGAAATCCGAGAATAATTTCTTTACGTTATACTTCATAAATATTGGGTTGAGGTAGTCATCGCGAAGAGACCTTTTTGTAACATATTCGCTCATTAAAAGAGATGGGTCCAAAATCTTACCAATTCTTTGTCTATAGTTCTAACTTTTCAAATAAGTTTTTTGTTCCATTTACTGATTGTTAGGTCATTCCTTTTTTTTTTCTTGACGACTAAAAGAAGTGAAAACTGAGCATTTAAATAATTGGTAGGTATAATATTTGTGAAAATTCTTGGAACCGAGCAAACTTCGTTCTAGCGGTAGAGTTTTGCATGCGATGCTCCAGTCCTAATTACTAGCTCACTAATATATAGTATTTTATTATCTAATTACTGTATTTAACCTAGTAGTGTTAAAGTATTTATCAAGCGTTTCTTGCAAGTTTTCCAATAGTGATCAGGTATTTCATTTTATGATTAACCTCCAAATCAATGATTGGAAATGGTACTAACAAAATTTGTATGTCTTATATTCCACCCTGGACATGGTAAAGCTCAAGTATTCAAGTATACTATGATTTTGACACTATTAATGTATCATCCGTTCCCGAAGATTATGAAATTCCTGTTGTTTAATGGCAGACTAAATTACTTTTTAATGCGCGAAGTTCTATGCTCGGAGCTACGGGTTTCGTCTCACCTACTAACCCAAAACAGTGGCAATATTCTCTCGGACGCCGCTGAGCAGCCGGACTTGCACGTCAGTTTTTGTGGCCGAGTTAGCATCAGTGTGCCATTGGTATGCCGTATGCATCATACCAGCGATGGTGTGCCATTGGTATGCATGATTCCAACGATGATGTGCCTTTTGTATGTATAATACCAACGACGGTGTGCAATTGGTATGTATGATACCAACGACAGTGTGCCATTGGTATGTATGATAGGTACCAACGATGGTGTTCCATTGGTATGTATGATACCAACGATGGTGTGTCATTGGTGTGTATGATACCAATGATGGTTTGTCGTTGGTATGTATGATACCAACGAAGGTGTGCCATTGGTATGTATGATACCAACGATGGTGTGCCATTGGTATGTATGATACCAACCATGGTTGGTAAGTTACAGTCGCATTTTTTGAGATCTTTTCAACTTTGATCACTATATCGAATCGGGATGGATTTGAAGCTTTCAAGTAATTTTTCCCACTTCAGTATTGGGTTCATTTCGGGACTGAGGGACTTTGATGTGTTTAAATTGTGATTTAATCTGGAACTTCTTTCACTGGTTATGGATGTAATGCGTTCATTAATAGTAATCAAGGGAAATCAACCTTGCAGTAATCAAGGGAAAAGCTGCAAGGTTGAAACCCCCCAGATTTAATCACTTGTATCAACCCTCTACCGCCTGACAAGAGTAACCGGATCAAAAAAAGATACGTTCTGTTGAGAGCAAAATGACTTGCACTGGTGGTTGCCGCCACGTATGACAACTTTAAATTGTTCTCTGTTGCGTACAAACGTCCTCAGGTCGCCACACTCATTAGTTTATGTATAATTTCATTTGAAAGTTATGTTCCCTGAGAGTGACATACGGCGGTAGAGGGTTAAAGCTGTTGCTACTACAAATTTTTTGTTTGCCTGATTTGTAACATGATTGAATAGCTGCATGTAAACTACAAATATATGTATATGAGATTAATTGTGTAATCCAGTAATTATGTCCAAAGATTATTTCCAAAGTATTTCTTTTAGTAATGACCAAAGAACGGGTTGCTCAAGTTTGCATAACTGCATGAATCACGACTTTGGGTCTTTCTAGGTTTGACAAATCCTATCAGCCAAAGTCGGCTGCCACGGTTGGTTAGCGTTCGAATATAGAAACGGTGTCTAGATCACCCCTCCTTGCACGGCAGTTTAACGTTTGTTATACCTATAATATTTTTTATCTAAAATTCGAAATTAATTTGAATTTTGTTATGACTTGAAAATACGTTGTATATGCTGAGATCTTGGTGGTTAGAATATCCGAATTTTGCTTTGAACGTAGAATCAATCTTTTTGCTATAGATTGATGTTCAACAGTTTTTCAAAATCTGTTATCTGTAAATTGTTCTTTAGTTGAAATATTTTACAATTTATATTATAATCTGTGGTTATGTGCATCCATATTAAATCTCCTAACGTGAAAGAAATTATTAATTCATGGTCAATGACAGCATCATTTTCATTCGAAAGAAAATGAAGTGTACAAGCAAGTGGAAAAGCTCACACACGTATTAGCTGTTAGAAAACTTTGTCCTTTTTTCGGCAGCACCTCCAGCCCTGTAAAGCGTTGGCTAACATTCCTCCGATATGTTCTACCATTAGAACAAGAACTCGATCTTCCACCTCCCGCTTTTTCCGCTCTTGTGCATTTCTTTTATTCGAACGGTCACCGTTTTAGCTGGTAACGAATAAGCGACCTATTTGTTGTTTGTTGCTCACGGCCACAGACATAAGCTTTATTTCCTCTATATTTCTTTGACGCCTTCTCATTCCATGAAAATTCGGCCGAAAAACAACATAGAACCCAAACGTTTCTTATACCTTCCAAAATTATGTCATTTGGTGCCTGGTGCACTGTCTTGTTGGGCACTGTTTGTTCTGTCATCGGGGAAATACAGGGTGCGGCGTGGGAACTTACTCTTTTAAAAAATCACAAAGTAAAAAGTATTAAAGATAGCGTTTTAATTCTTTCTTTTTTACAAAGAGCTACATTTAAAGTTTCGTTGGGTTTACTTACAAGTTTAAACGCCGCACCCTGTACTTCTATTTTAAGTTCATCAAAACCGGTATATACGTCAGAAGAATGAAAATAAACATGCTTTGCAGGTGAAGAAACTAAGTGCATTGGTAACAGAACTTTTTTAGACTTGCTCTCTAGGATGAAAACCACAGGATTCGGAAGAGCTGTCCAAAGTTTGGCATAATCTTACCTGAAACTTGTACCCAGAAATTTGTCTAAATTGTGGGAAACTTCATGCCTAAATTATTGAACGGTCATACTTCGTTTTATAAAAAAGAAAACCAGTTTAAGTGTTTCTTATTTGGTGCCGTTACTTGCATACTACCTACAATATTTTCTAATTTTAGAATTCTAGTTGTAAAAAGGCCGATTGCCGATGAATATTTATTTTGAAATAAGATTTCTCTAACAATTTTATCGGTATGCTGATCATGCAACTTCATAACTCTTACTTTGTCTACTGCACTTAGCCCCCACCCTCATTTTTTCTTTGTTGCATGCTTTTGTTTATTTTTAACTGCGCTTCCGTTTGACTGTTGAATTTCAATTACTTGCATCCTCTCATACATGTGCTAATTTAATGCACTGACAATCGCTTGTTTCTTGAATATCTCCAAGTTTTCGCGGAAGATTTCTGTGGTCAGGCGCGCGCCTATAATTGCATGTTACGGCATGCAAGCAGGCGTGCTGTGAATACATTATACGCGTGGCGGATGCACCGCGCGCAGTAACAAAACATTTGAAGTTGAGCTTGTGACCTCATTTTACCTTTTACGCCATTTGAGGATCATAATTACTGTCATCATAATAAGTTGTGGAAAACACAACCTCAACCAAAAATTTTTATCGTGACAGGAATGACTAACTCGCCAAAGATATTAACACTTTATCAAAAGTGCCGTTCTTTGTGTTCAAATTGAGTTTTTTCTGCTCTCAGTCAACGCGGGGTAGTGACTGAAATATTTGTACACTCTTCAGTAAAGGCATGAGGATAATGAAATTTTAATCCATAACATCCGACTGTTTTTTTTCTCTTAATTATGATTTTCCTGCTACTCATCGCTTTTTGTGTCCTACGAAGTCGACTGCTTTTTTCATTCAGT